CACTGAAGAATATAATGGCCCTCGAAGCTCTTACCTCGCCAAGATTAGCTTCTCCGATTCCGACTCTGTTTCAAGATTCCGCTGTTGGCTTCCATGGGAGCAAAGGCAAGCGATCTAAGCGCTCAAGGTCCGAATTCGACCGCCACAGTACTAGTCTCACGGAGGATGAATACATCGCTTTATGCCTCATGCTTCTCGCTCGCGACGGAGATCGAAACCGCGACCTGCCTTCTTCCTCTTCATCGCCGCCTCTGCTTCCTCCTCCTACTCCGATCTACAACTGCAGCGTCTGCGACAAGTCGTTTTCTTCTTACCAGGCTCTCGGTGGACACAAGGCGAGTCACCGGAAAACCTCCTCGCTGACTCAGTCAAGCGGGGGAGACGATCAGCAATCGACGTCGTCCGCGGTAACCATCGTGAGTCACGGCGGCGGAGGGAGTGTGAAATCGCACGTTTGCTCGATCTGTAACAAATCGTTCGCGACCGGTCAAGCTCTCGGCGGCCATAAACGGTGCCACTACGAAGGAAAGAACGGCGGGAGCAGCAGCGTGTCGAATTCAGAAGGTGTGGGGTCCACAAGCCACGTCAGCAGCGGCAGCCATCACCACCACCGCGGGTTTGACCTCAACATCCCGCCGATTCCGGAATTCTCGACGTTCAACGGAGACGAAGAGGTGATGAGTCCCATGCCGGCGAAGAAACTCCGGCTCGACTTCCACTAGAAAGAAACTCAAAAACATGTCTCTTTCTTGGAGCACTTACAGATTCAGTTATAGCCATATAGGGAATTTGTTTCACTGTATGTACCGACTTTCGATTTTAGATTGATTCCAATTCTTGATCTTCTTCATTGAATCAAGATTCTTTAATGTATATAATAGATGGTGTATTGGGTATTTTTTTGTAATTTTACTTTAACCTAAAGTTGTCGCCTCAAGTTTACATGAAAAGACCTTCCAAATTGAATACGAGTACGTTTAAGTTTCTAAAGAACAAAGATGATAGAAACGACAAAGTTGGTTTCGCAATTTTACGGGCCTGTTTTTTGATTCGTTGGACTAGACTAAGTGGGTTGGGCTAGTTGACCTAACCTCCAAATTTCAGCCCATTTAATTAACCAATGGTTGCTATATCCTCAGTACTAATTAAGGAATTAACGTTTAATGTTTACAAGATTTCTGTTGACAAAAAAAAAAAAATGTTTACAAGATTTCAATGATAGACAAGTATTACACGGTTTATGTTTTTCTATACAAGATTACAAGAAAAAAAGCAATTTTATTGGTAAATTTTAGTATTGTTGTACGTATTTTCGTTGTCATTTATCATCTTGCATATAACATTTGTGTTTGTGCCTTTAGTATTTACGTTTGTTTTCGCTTTAAAGATCGGAAACCGACCTTTCTCGGACCTAAAATCTCAAACAGATCCTTTAGCATTTGCGTGTATTGTGAATTGGAATTGGTTATATGATATCACATCCATCTCTACCAAAACTTTTGTATTATAATTTCGGAAAAATACAAACTTCAAGTATTCAAAATATTTTCCTATGATTTATATCATAATCAAGAAGAGATGCAAATATGGGTTACAGTTACGATACAAAATATGGATTTACCAATCATATTTTTTAACTGGTGGCTGACCGTGAGCACGATCACCAGAGAGATAGATCCCATCATCTCTAGCATCCCATATGAATATTTGACCAAATTTAAGAAAATAAACAGACTCTGTATATGCCGTAATTTGTCTAACGAATTTAAAGCCAACCCCATGCGAGAGCTCGCACTCAAAATGAGTTCCACCGAAAAACCTGTCTCCAAACTTAAAACTATAAAAGTCAGAACGACGTACTAAATGAACACCAAGATCGTCTTTATCAGATATACAATGAATGTGGAGAACATCATCGTTTCTGCTCAAAGAGTTTATAAAATATATTTGGTTTTTGGGAAACAGTTTGCTAGCTTCGTTCAATCTCCCAAACAAAGCAATAACAAGGAATAAAACACAAAGACTATTCTTCATAACTGGGAAAGATATTAATTTGGTTTTCTTTTTAATTTTTGTATATGTTTTTATGAATATATTCGCCTATAAGAAGTATATATATATATATATATATTATTAGTAATTATGCATCTAGCTAATTTTACTCATGTGTTGGATCTTCTTAATGGAGTAATTAATGTTTTTAATCAAAATCAGTTTTTTTGGTAAATAAGTAGTAAAAGACTAGTATTTGTGTTTGACCTTTTTTTCTCTAATTTTTTTACATTTAATGTTTTTCTACTTTGGAAGTAGAGGTTTTTTGCTTTTCGTATACTGTAATATTATAGATCTGCGTTGTCGTTTATTTTCTTGCTTATGAGTTATGGCATTAATATTTGTTTTTCGCATTCCGGATCTGTAACCGACCTTTCTCGGATGATTGTATTGTTTAGATGATCACATCAGTCTTCACCAGCAACTCGTTTAAGCTTTTGATTTTTTTTAAAAAAAATTGTAATTAAAAAAAAATACATGCATCAAATATCAAATATTTTTCATATAATGTTATATCCTGAGATCTATTATTTAGACTAAGATTTTACCAACCATACTTAAATACTAGCTGGTGACCATCAACACCATAGTAGATCCCATCATCTCGTGCATCCCATAAGTAACTTGCACCAAATTTAAGAAAATAAGAAGATTCTTTATATGCTGTAAATTTTCTACGATATGTGAAATTAATTCCATGTGTTAGTTCGCACTCGAAATGAGTTCCACCAAAAAACCTGTCCCCAAACGTAATATAATATACTCCTGTACGACGCAGAGAATGAAGACCAAGATCATCTTTATCAGATATACAATGGATTTTGAGGACATCATCATTTCTGCTAAAAGAGTTCCTAAAATATATTTTGTTTTTAGCAAACAATTTGCAATTGTTCGATCCAACACATAAAGCAAAAACAACAAAAAAAACAAAGAGGTAATTCATAATTTGGAAAGATATGAACTTTTATTTTTATTTTTTTGGATATATATCTTAATATAGTAATCTAAGAGGTTGTTATGTATATATAGTGGTCACGCGTTCAAGTTTAGTCATGTTTTCCCTCCAATTAATGAAGTAATGTTTTAATCAAATTGTTACTTTTAGTAAGCATTTGAAAAACTTATTCAACGTTCAACTTTCCCATTTATGGTATGCATCAATGATATGACTGGGTTTTCTTTCCCAATATTATACACATAAAATAACGACAAATTGGTTTGTAATGATATGTTCATCAGATTAGAGTTTGTAATATTTAATCCGGTTCAAGATTACGCAATTTTGGTTTAATAGTAAATGTTTTTTAACAGTTAAATTATTATAAAATCGAATCAAAATCCATCATCCTAAAAGACAAGCACGATAAACATCACTAGTTGTTTTATTAATTTTTGGATCACATTTTTGTTTTAGAATAATAAATAAGTAGGGCTATAAACCTATAAAAAAATGTTAAACCAAATATCTTTTGGATTTTATATATTAAAATATACGATGATTTAACAAATGAAAAATTTTAAACTAATATTATTTTGAAGTCTCGTAATAAAAATATAAAAATGATCATAACTTTTTGGACTACCATTTTTATTGGGCCGGGGCTGACCCTATCTGATCATTAAATATTGAACGCAGCATAAAACAACTGTAAACATAGATCTTTGAGAATCCTTGCCAACGGAATTTGCATCTACTCATATCTTCATTATTAGTTCTTTCATTCGTCTCGATGTAAGTGTCTCTACTCTCTACTCTATCATTAGTTGACTCTATACAAAAGTTCAAGAAGCTAGAGGATCTTTTCTTGAAAAGATTCTAAATGATATAAAAAAATCTTTTATCAAAAAGAAAGGACTCTGAATTATCACTCTCTCTATATATAATGTATACATTAACAAACAAATCGTTTTTCACGAGCCAGAGGCCACGACATGACAAATAGACATAGTCACCTACCAGTTAATCATTTTTGTCCATGTGCATATATTATATACATGTATATGTATTTAATAAAGGTAGTTCAATTATTAACATCGAATAAAAATATGTGTGGTTGATAACAAGTTATGGCCTTATGGATTGCCTAGATAAATGTATCGATAATTAGTAAATTTGAAACACTATTTGAGTTTAACTGTTTCCACACAATTTGATATCACACGATGCTTTTACTGATCATTTTGATTGGTGGAGTAAGCGATATGATTCTCTTTTGGCAGAAGTGTCACAGTCTCGCTTTCCCCATACATATTTCGTTTTGGATAAATAAATAAAATGTATTTCCGCCATACCTGGATCACAGTCATTTCGATAATTTTTTCCAATTATTATATAGGTGTACAAATCATGTTAAGCAGCTGGAGCCCATTCTAATTTTTACATGAACAAAATTACTATCAATTACAGTAACTGTGGGGGACCTGGGGGTTGTGGACGAAAATACAAGAGTGTGACAACTCTGCCGAAAGAGAATCAGCTCGTGTTTCATTCAACGATCATCTAGTGATTTTCTTCGCTTAATTAACTCCTATATTCTGAATCGAATATCTTCCATTTTCTTTTAAAAAGATATGTTGAAGCCCCTGCACCCTCAAGCATGAACCCTAGCTTTCGGTTCATGGCATTCCTTGTGCTCGCACAAGAAGTCCCCTTTTGCAGTATATCATAGATATTAATTCGTATGGAATACCAAATTTTATAAAATATAGTGAGGTACTTGTTATAATGCAAATAAGCTACATACTCGATGTCGTTTTCACCAAAAACTAATAGAAGATATCAAACGTGATTACCGATACCCTACAAAATTATATATTCCGTCTTCTTCGATATTTTTTAATAGCAATTTCAATTTTTATTTTTAAAAACAGAAAATATACAAAAGGAAGAACAGCGCGAAAATATCAAGAACACGATTTTTTAAAAATATATATAACTCGACCCATAAACACATACGAAATCGTATCAAAATGTATATTCCAGTGTCACTCATCCTTCTTGTCCCTCTCCTTCTTTTTCTTTTCCGCCACCTCCTTTCACGGCGGTTAAGGCGGCGGAAACCTTACCCTCCCGGTCCCATAGGCTTACCCATCATTGGCAATATCCTCATGATGAGCCAATTCAACCACCGTGGCCTGGCCAAGCTCAGCCGCACATACGGCGGATTACTTCATCTCCGCCTCGGATTTTCCCATCTTTTCGTAGTTTCTTCTCCTCAAATGGCACGTCAAGTCCTCCAAGTTCAAGATCACGTTTTCTCAAACCGTCCCACCACACTCGCAATCCGTTACTTGACCTACGGGCAATCCGACCTCGCATTTAGCAATTACGGCCCGTTCTGGCGTCGGATGAGGAAACTCTACGTCATGATGCTCTTTAGCCGTAAGAGAGCCGAGTCGTGGGTCTCTGTCGACGAAGAGGTTCACAAAGCGGTCCGTTTTGTAGCGGTCAATGTCGGAAAGCCACTAAACGTGTGCAAACTCGCATTCTCCTTAACGAGAGACATAACCTTTCGAGCAGCGTTCGGCTCCTCGTCGTCCACTTCTGATGAAGGCCGACTAGACGAGTTCCTCGAGATCATACAAGAGTTCTCTAAGCTTTTTGGTGAGTTTAATGTAGCGGATTACGTCCCTTCGTGGCTCGGCTGGATCGACCCGCAAGGGATAAACGGGCGGGTCGAGAAAGCCCGAAAGTCTCTCGACTGTTTCATTGAATCCATCATCAACGATCACTTACACAAGGAGAAGAGAGAACAAAACGTTGACGACGAGACCGATATGGTTGACCAGTTACTTGCGTTTTACAAAGAAGAAGTCAAAGTCAAAGACTCGGTGACCAAAATTAATCTCGATAACATTAAGGGCATCATCATGGTAAATTATACTACAATATATTATATTTTTATATTTATATTTATAGGAATAGACTGAAATTAAATTGAAATATTACATAACCAAAAATTAGGATGTGATGTTCGGAGGAACCGAGACGGTGGCATTAGCAATCGAGTGGGTCCTAACGGAGCTACTCCGGAGCCCCGAGAACATGAAGCGGGTCCAGGACGAGCTAGCGTCTGTGGTCGGGCTCCAGCGGTGGCGCGTGGAGGACACGCACCTCGAGAAGCTCACTTTCCTAAAATGTGTAATCAAAGAGACACTCCGGCTCCACCCGCCGTTCCCTCTCCTCCTCCACGAGACGGTGAAGAACGCGGAGGTCTCCGGTTATCACATTCCAAAGGGGTCGCGCGTGATGGTCAACACCTACGCTCTCGGGCGCGACCCGGATTCTTGGTCCGACCCGGAAGTTTTCAACCCGGGAAGGTTTTTGGACACGTGTGCTCCGGATCTGAAGGGAAACAATTTCGAGTTCATTCCGTTCGGGTCGGGTCGGAGATCGTGCCCGGGTATGCAACTCGGGTTGTACGCGTTTGAGATTGCGGTGGCTCATCTTCTGCACTGCTTTGCGTGGACATTACCGGACGGCGTGAAACCCGGTGACGTCGACACCGTAGAAGGGCCGGGTCTCACCGTTCCTAAGGCGATTCCTTTGGTGGCGGTGCCGAACACGCGCCTCATGTGCCCCATCGTTGTTTCATCATCTTAAAGCTTGAAAAGCCTCCAAGTTAATTAGAAAACAAGAGTTTTCGTTTGATAATTGACTTGTAATAAGAATTGTTAGAACAGTAAAATGAATAAATAAATAAATAAAACGTACCAGTTTATATTAATTAAAATATATAATAGTAGTTCAGGAAATTTAAGGCAATAATGTTTTTTAATTATTGTTTCGAAAATCCAAATATAAATATATCTATTACTATACTCATCAAGCCTTGAATATTTTTAATATGATTTATATCTTAAAATCATCGTCTCTAGCCTTCCATATGATATGTTTCCCAACTAGACGAATACAACGAGATTCATCATATGCTTTGATTGTGCCGCATATTTGGTTTCTTGAGGTTACAGTTAGGGTTCGATAGACCCTGAAGTCTTGAGGGTCGCCAGGCAATACTTTGGGTTAGAGGAAAGCTTTCACCTGAAGACGGTATTGAGTTATTGAAGAAATTTTCTTCCACCTGTGATGATGGAAATACCAATGGAGTTTGTGGCCAGAGGTGTTCTTCTTCCTTGTGGAATTTTCGTGATCAATGTCATTCCTCCGAACAAGACATTCTACAAGGAGAAATGGCAAACTGAGAAGAAAAGCAAACAAGATTGTATACCTCTCTTTCAGAAGAACTCGAGTAAGACCCAAAACTCATAAAGTCTCAGTATACCGTAGAAATTTTCTTTAGAAGCTTTAAATCAACCCACACGAGCTAGGTTTCATTAAAAAGTATAGCCCTAAGAAACATTAAGAAACAAAGTTGATTCAAGTCACTCACAGATTTGGTTTAACATCCTCTGGAGGAATGACACGGACTTGCAGCATGTGCTCGAGCAACAAATAGTCTTTCATTAAATCGCGCCCGCTCGAGCAACAAAACATTAGACAACAGAGAACCGCGTTTCACTTCACCACTTCGCCGCTTCAGCCTCCGCTAGACGGTTGTGTGCCATCACGCAAGCAACAAAGGCTTCCCTCTCTATATCATTGTATGTGCGCTTACCATCCACAATGTTGTCAGCTCGCACTGCCTCCCACTTTTTCTTCAAATTCTCTGCCGTCTTGGTGAGCCGGCGGATATTGTCGTCGCAGCCAGAACAGCCAGAGCCAGAGCCAGAGCTAGAGCTAGAGCTAGAGCCAGAGCCAGAGCCTTCAATGTTAACAACGGTCTTCTCTGAATGTTCAAGGCAGAAAACATCAGGAGAATTTGCTGTCTTGTTCCATCATCTCCTTGTTTTCTTTTTCTGCGAGTATCAGCTAATTTGTGGGGTCCTGCATGCAGAATGACCAGGATACAGAGAAGAGCAGCCCAATGAGGCCCAATTCCAAATCTAATGGAAGAGCAGCCCAATGAGGCCCAATTCCAGATCTTATCAGATATAATCTCCACCACTTCTCTTGAGGTAAATGAGAAATTGGATACATCTTAACGATGGAGGATTCAAGTCAACCAAATTCTGCTAATCGCGTAACAAATTAAAATTGATGTTCAAACGTAATCAAACTAGCTGGATTATTTGATAAACTGCATAAGGCTGTTAGTAAAGTAAGATAAGAAAGTAACGACAAAATGCACAAGTGTTTTAACTTTTAAACTAGTGTAAGTAGACTCATAGCTTACAATACTGATTTAAGTAGAAGGAAAGGTCCAAGATAATAGCATTGACTTGGATATACTACAAAAAAGCAAGAAGTAGCTTCTGAACAACAATTTTTGCATATTAAGAACACAAAAGACCAAGACAATACTGGAGATTCATCAGTTTCGCCGCATCTTCCTTTTAAGTGAGACTTCTCTGTATGATTGGACTTTCTCTGCTGCATGTCTCGATGGTCTTCCCACAGATGTTCTTCTCATCATTCCTTCTGTTTCCTCACCTCTAGGCTTGTTCTTTGTTTCTCTTTCATGGTCCTCCTGAGAAACTGATGATGATCTCAGAACACACTCTTGAACTATGTTGATGCGCATAGACGGTTCTGTCGCTATTTCTTTGATGGCTCCATCGGTGTCTGTAGCTGTTTCAGATTTATTCTTTGTTGATTGCCTTCTCGTTGAGACTCTGACAATGACACCATAAAGATAACAGTCACATTACATCATTGAGACTCTAAACTCAACAGGGGGAATGCAAAGCTCACGGTCACTAACAAACCTGCGTTCCCCGTTTGTAACTTTTGTGTCATGGCTGCTTTCAGATGGTTCCACGGCTTCAGATCTTGATCCGTCGCTAACTACGCTTCTGAAATATGTTCCAGGAGAGAAAACTCAAGTGGTATTAGCTAACTCAAATTTCTATGCTGTCAATCAACGGGATTGGGAAAAACCAAAAAGGATATGTTTCAACAAACCCTGCATCATCAGCATTCAAGGTTCCAGTCACAGTCACTTCCGGTGCTTGGAAATCAAACATTGCAGATTGTCGTCTTGAAGAGACTCTGCCAAGTAATAGAAGAAATTAGTGACCTCTAAATGCATTTTTTTAGTGACATCTACACAGGATACTACTTGTAAATAGGACGTTATTCAAGCTCTTACAAACCTTCTCCTCTTGATCGTCTCCCCGACTTCGTCTCTCTCAGGGAAGCTTTTATATGGTTCAGCTTCTTCGGGCCTTAATCGAGCAGACCGTCTTTTCAAAGAGAGCCTGCTGGGGAACGGAAACAGTGTCAGTGCAATACGCTGATTGTCCACTCAGAGTTTGCAGCAACGTAGGTAACCAAAGTGGAAAGAGGACAAAATAACACGAACAAACCTTGCGCTTTCTTTGGTTTCTGTGGCATCATCCATCTCAAGCAATTTTTCCGTTTGTTCAGTTTTTTGAACATCAAATCTGGTCGATTTCCTTCGAACACATTGCCTATGACAAAACAAACAGACAAAATAATTAAACCACTAATAAGGTATCTTTGTCTTCCCATCGTTTTGAAGTTGAAATTGACTCTCGGACTGAATATAAGAACCTCTTGCTGTGCACACTGTCTTTTACCGGGTTTGCTGCATCTAGAACAAACTTCTTGTTGAAAATATTGTCAACAATTTGGTTTCCGCCTTGAGAGACAACCTCTTTTTCAGTGTCATCCTCAATCTGACAGGCCACTTCGGGGATACCAGTGGTATCTATTACTCCAGAAACTTTCCTACAAACGAAACAATACCAATTTAGGTTTACTTGAATGCCAAAAGCTTTCACAGAAAACATGGATGAAACATAAAGCAGATTTTGACCTTTTACTGTTAGCGTTCTCTTTAACCTGTATGGGCTTGACGTTGGAGCTCTCTGAAGCTGAAAATGAAACGATATAGGGTAAGGACGCAGAAACGGGTTTCAAGGATCAACAATGAATCTAAGCAAAACAGTATACGTACGTTTTATCCTTGACGTTCGCTTTCTCTTGGTGTCTTTATGATTGATGTCATGCGCCTGAAAGAGTTTGCAATCCCCATCAGAAACGTTTAATGGAACCTTGAAGTCAACAACAAAGCCAAATAGCGTGAAAACAATGTAGTACTAAAAGAAATAGTTTCCTATTCTGGAAGTGTCAACCAAGGAAAACTCAAGGAAGCACCTTATCTTTCGATGCGTGATGTGTACATGGAAGTGCTTGCTCCTGCACGATATTGGGTAACAAATTCTCAAGTTTATAACCGTTTTTCAGGTAACTATGGTCAATAGAAATATACAGAACAGCGGGATAACTTGCCTCAAGCTGCATTTTCCTGGCCTTGAGCAATACATTCTTGCAGCCAAGTTCATGCTGAAGTAGCTTGAGCTGGAAATGTACATACAAACTCAGTTGATCGAAGAACTTGTAATATAATGAAATAAAAAGGCTCGTTTTGAGCATTTTCAGTTCCAGAAAAGCTTACTCTGTCTCTGTTTGTATTGAGTTCCTGCCAGAATCAAAAAATGAAAAAAGACAATGAAGCCATACTTTTAATCATACAGTTTCAAATAATCTCACAATCATCTCAAAATTGAACCATAGAAAGATGGGACACACCGCCAACATATGACTGTTTGCCTGTGCAAGCTGCAAATTCTTTTCCTGCACATTCCGTAAGTTGATCCTCAGTTTCTGAAACTCAACACCGCTCAGCTCGATGATTTTACTGCAGCCACAAAACAAAACAACTTTACCAACAAAAATAACGCTCATCAAACTCAAAAGCCAACTTGTTATAAAGAACAAAGATGGATACTTTCTGTGTGCTAGGGCTTTCATCAGTGTCATGTTTTCCTGCAAAAACAAAATCAACAAAGCAACCGAATCAGCAAAATACAGACCGCCACGATCTCAACAAGATCAAAGTGTAAAGGCGATGCCTTTTGAAGCTTTTCGGCGTATTCCTTAGAAGAGAATAGCATGTTTTGTTGCTGGTGCGTCTCTTCTCGGTTCACTTGTTTTGCGTTATCCTGCAAGTTGCTAATATCCGCTAGTTTTCTCCTCTGTTCACTGCTCATAAACGATTCCAGAGCGCTCGTCTTTCCTTTCTCTTGATGAATAGGAACCTCTGCCGATTTCACCAGTGTGTTAACGAAATCCATAACACAAATGTCAAAATCAGCTAATAACAATCAGACGAAACGGAATCAAACCCTAAATCCGAAAAGAAAAGATAAGAAAGTCGCGAGCAGAAATTCCAGCAATTTGAGGATGAAACAAATCCGATGCGAAGAAGAATAGATATTCAATAACAAAAACCTTACAGCATAATGGGTACCTCGAATAGGATAAAATCCAATTTACCATCTTAATGTTAGCAAAAAAACTTTTGAATTTGACAGAGAAGAGAGAAAAAATATCAGTCTCCCGAGATGCGAGCAGTCAATCCCTAATGAATGAATGAAGGAATGACAAAGAGAGACCCGAATGCGAAGAACTAAGGTGATAAGTAAGACGGAATTCGAACCTTCAGCAGCATAATTATCATCTTCGAGAACCGTCACAGAGTTCATGGTGGAGGCGGGTCGAGGAACCCTAAGACTGGATCGGATTTCGGAATTTTGAATCGAGGAGGGAAGACGAAGGGAGGGAGAGAGTGACGGGATATACGACGGCAGATTTCGAGGGTAGAACCGTCAAATTCTTATGCGATTACGGCTAAAACGACATGGTAGCCTGTCGTTTTAGTGTGTGTAATGTTAATCCGTTCTCTATCCGGATTATCCGAATTGGGTTAAAATTAACTGAAAATTATTCGTTTTAATCACCCTAGTATTTGAGCTGGCATGGAATTAACCGTTTAAAAATTCATTGAAGTTATCTGAAATACTTAGGGGAGGGAGTACAAACAATGATCAAATGAAAGGTATTGCTTTATTTCTTTGTATTTAGATAATATTACCGTAGGATTTAGATTCGTGTAGGGAATCAAATAATTCTGGAATGTATTCATTTTTCTAGGAAACAAAAAAATGTTTAGTGTTGTTATCACAGTCAAAAAGAAATAGTCAAGTTAAAAAGAAAACGATTGATATCCATTAAATCAGTCATTTTTTTTTTTACAGGACACATGAAGAAAGTCTTGTCTACGTTGGAAGGCGTGACGAGAGTAGGGGAAGTATGACATATATGCATAGGAAAGGAAGAAGGAAAAGATTTGAGAAGATGGAGAGAAAAAGGTAACAGAGGAAAGGACGTGTAGCTGAAAAACCGAGCCAGTTTACTTGGAAACCTGAGAAGTGAGAAGATTGATGGAAACAGATGAAAGTCGTTTCGGCCATTAAGAGGGAAGGAAAAAGGGAAATTTTGGGAAAATGAAATATCGGAGGAGTATATACGAAGAAGGGCAGAGAGGTTAGGTTTTTAGGGTTTTTGTTCGCCGCATGTTTCGATAGTTTCAAGAATGTATCAGATGTTGGGGAGAACCTTGAAGCTCTCAGCTCGGAGTCGTGGCCACCAGGTTCATGAGCAGCGGTTGTTCTCCACACCCATCCCCTGCGTCTCTGCCACCGACTATCATGGACCTCACCGACTTCGCCCCTGACTCCATCCGCTACACGTGGCTTGCCCCTCTCCACTAAACTCTGTTGCTTGCGCTTCTTGTATCCCTTTCGGACTATCTTTAATGTTTTGTTGACTATGGCTTTCTTTTATGTTTTATATTTGCCACAATCTCTCTAGTTTGCTTTCCTTTTGTTGCCATGGCAATGCACTATGATTCAAGCCAACTCTTCTTTGCATATCTTCATCAGATTATTATTTACTCCAGTCTCTTTGTGTCTAGCTTTTGAGCTGTATCTGCATATAGAGCTCCTTAATATCTGACGGCTGGGACTTACTCATTTATTTATTGGTGGTATACAAACGTAATCAATCTAAAAACTTGTTAAATAAATTTAAAAAAATACTGATTGTTTTTTGGCTGAATGTAATATCTTCGATCACTTCACTTATAAAATGTAAATAATGATCAAGAATTCAAGATTTAACAAGACCACAATAGACAAGAGATTCATGTTAATCGAATAGACTCGCCTGTCAGAGGTATTAACTTCTGATTAGCATGATTTAATTACAAAAGTAACATCAGACTGGAGAGAGGAGATTTACGTACTGTATCGATGCCAAGTTGGTCTAGAATCTCACCGGAAGAAAAATAGAATTATAATATTTTATCCACAAATCTTTTAAATACATAGCCGATTTTATTGAATTGAATGTACACCATTTCCTTTTGTATTCCTGTTTTATTCTATCACTTTCGTCGGATTCATAATTTCAACATTTTGTTCTTTTCTTTGATTACATTCTCTATAACAAATACTCCAATTGCAATAAACAATTGAATACAGACTAGTAGTTGGGAGCGCCACCTTTGTCGATTCAAATTAGCAAATATATTACCAACTACATAAATTCAAAAATATTCACAACAATTTAATTATTTGAACTTTTTTAAAACAGTTGCTAACTATGTATTCATTCAACTCGAGACTCGAGAGATACTTTTGCTGATTAACCACAACCCTTGATTAATAGGCATAATCGAATGAGGACTATTACAGATTAGGTAGAATCATTCCGCTTAGGTCACATTCTACTGATTATGTTCTTTTTTCTTTGACCTTTACTTCAAGAAAATTCAAGACGGTAATAATTGAGGATCATGTTACATAGTATCTTTTAATCAATCATTTGATTTTAATTTTGCTGGTTTTTTCTACTACATAGTATCAACTATACGATACAAAAGTTATGATAAGATTTCAAAAAGTATCCTAAAGTAAAATGGAGTAGCTAATGTTTTGCTAACAAGCCTACACTAATCAAGTCCTGAAAGCTCTCTATGGTGTTTTTGGGTCATAAAACAAATTATTCACGAGATAAGTAGGATCAATGGTTGCATCACGTTATGTTTTTTATTGTTATAATATTAACGATTACTACAGTATTTCTTGAAAAGGAATCCTCCAAAAGCTTCCTTTTGTAAGAAAAAATTACCTTTTAGCTGTATGTTTTAACCTTCCGTCGAAAGTCTTATTTCTCTAACTATGAAAGAATTAGCCTTCACAATTTTCTATTTTTATTTAATTAAGAAATTTTCCAAATTTTGAAAACATAAAATTTGGAAATATTACGAAACAGAAATGTCCATTGTGTGAGAATAATTAAGAAGTACTGTATGTATTATGGAAACTTAATTATAGCTCGGTCTAAGAGATAATCCAATAAAGAACAACTCTGTCCTTCTGAGTTTGGACAAAATCTTAAAAAGCTTTTGCTCTTGTGTGTCCAAAATCGAACCAGAAAAATCTTCGACAGAGAGCACTATTAACTTACATTCGAGTTTTGTTTCGAGGTATTATTCTTTCTTAATATAGTAGTATAAGCTTATTGATTTGATGCGAATTACAATCTTCAACATCATATATATGTTTTTTAGTGTGATAACTTGTCCCGAGTTAATGACATTAAATCTATAGAAAGATTGTTTCAAGGAGAGGGATGTGTAGAGGTGATTGGGTAATGCAAGTTAACTGAGTCACTCTTACAAAAGTAAGAATCAGATTGGAGAAAGGAGAGAGAAAGAGTTTTTAAGCCCTTTAAGGATTCTCTGTCCCTTCTTCACACCCTATCCCCTCTCTCTCTAAACTTCTTTTCTTCTACTTGAAACAAACTATAGAGATTAGAGAGAGAGATAGATAACAAGGAAACACAAACAAATTCTTTTGACCCTTTGTTTATTATATAACCCGATTTGCACAATTCCCCATAAACCCATATTTAAGAAACTTGAGTTTCTAATTTGGCTGGTCTTTTTCAGAAGAGATAATAAGAGAGAGAGAGAGGAGTTTATAATGGCGGCTTATAAGAGGATCAATAGTCCTCAAAAACCAACATGCATTAGCATTATCTGGTTCTGCCTCTTGGTTTCTCTCTCTCACCATGGAAGAGCATCTTCTTCGTCGACCTCAACACCTTTCTTTAATCTTTCTCTCCCACACCAACACCCATTCCCTGAAGATGTTGTTCTTAATGTTCAAAGGTATAACTTTTCTCTTACTTTTCTTGCATTTTATTTTCTCGGTCTTTCTCATTCTCAAGTATTTGGATTAAAAAAGAGTCTGCAGAAAGTTCTTGAACGGGTTTTGAGTCAAAACCTCTCTGTTTTTAGCAATAGCATTTTAGTAAAAAAACAGAGCATTATCATCTCCTCTGTTTCTTTTCCAACATTTTTGACATTATCTGTTATCAAATGCAGAAAACTCAACGATTCGCTCTCCAGAAGAAAGCTTATCACCATCCAACAAGACAACGAAACGACAGCGTCGGCGCCAATACCTTCTTGCGTCACCGGGAATCCAATCGACGACTGCTGGCGCTGCGACCCAAACTGGTTTGAAAACCGCCAACGCCTCGCCGACTGCTCAATCGGCTTCGGACAAGGTACGCTCGGCGGTAAAGGCGGCCGATTTTACGTCGTCACCGATTCCTCCGACAACGACGCGGCGAACCCAAGTCCCGGAACCCTCCGTCACGCCGTGATCCAGCCGGAACCCCTATGGATCATCTTTTCCGGCGACATGGGGATCACGCTCAAACACGAGCTCATCGTCGGGAGCTACAAGACGATCGACGGACGAGGAACGAATATCCAAATCACCGGCCATGGATGCCTCACGATCCAGCAGGTGAGCCACGTCATCATCCACAACATCCACATTCACCACTGCAAGCCCTCTGGAAACACTTTGGTCGCTTCGTCGCCGACACACGTCGGGTTCCGAGGAGTCTCCGACGGTGACGGAATCTCAGTGTCGGCTTCGCATCACATTTGGATCGATCACTGCTCTCTCGGATACTGTGCGGACGGACTCATCGACGTCATCCTCGCATCAACCGCCGTCACAATCTCCAACAACTACTTCTATCACCACGACGAGGTTATGCTCTTGGGTCACGACGACAGGTAAATATTTTTCCACTTTATTTCATGAAATTTTCAATTAAAGCATAAAATGTTTCGAATTTATCAAATTTATCAAATTTATCCAAATTTTGTGGCTTTTTTTTGCATTGTATTAAAAAGGTATACGGCGGACACTGGGATGCAGGTGACAATTGCATTCAACCATTTCGGAGAAGCGCTGGTGCAGAGGATGCCACGGTGCAGGCACGGTTACATCCACGTGGTGAACAACGACTTCACGGCGTGGGAAATGTATGCAATCGGCGGAAGTGCTAACCCTACGATCAATAGTCAGGGTAACCGTTACACCGCACCTCTTGATCCCAATGCCAAAGAGGTAATCTACATTATGAATATATATTCTGCCAAATCGAAAAAAAAAAAGTGTTTTGAATGTTTTTAAAAATTATTCGAAAGATGAACGAATTAGTTCCCTTGTCTTTAATACTGGGATATGTATTGGTGGGGCCGGATGACCTTTTTCTGACGTGTTCGGAATAGTGGGCCACTAGCAAGTAACCCCACGCGCCGGCTGAAGTCTTATTTGCCGGTGTCGTCATGACGTTGACCTAGTCAATTTTCACAGATGAAACTAAAGTTCTGTTGCGTCACGCGCTTTGGTGTCGCGTGATTTTAACACCACTGTGTTGTTTTTGTGATAGGTGACGAAGCGCGTGGATGCAAACGAGAAACAATGGGGGAACTGGAACTGGAGGACGGAAGGAGACGTGATGGTTAACGGAGCGTTTTTCGTGCCGTCAGGTGACGGAGTGAACCCTGCCTACGCCAGAGCCACCAGTGTTCAGGCGAAAGCCGCCGCTATCATTGACCAACTCACGGTCAACGCCGGCGTCTTTGGCGATCCCAGGTACGATTATATTATCTCCAGCATTGCCTCATGCACTCCAATTAGTATCTTTCTTAACACGATTTTGCTCCTAATTCTTTATTGAATTCGTTTTTCTAATATAGTCCTTTTTCCATTATTTTTGACACTATATACGGAAATTAACATCATTATTTTTATTAAAAAAACAATAATCTTATAAAAAAATATATCTACTTATTTACTATTAGTTCTCCTTTTTTTTTATTTTCTGACCTAAAGGATAATACTTTTCCTTTTCGTGTTTTGGATATTAAAAAGTTTTTGAGTTACACAAGACCATTCCGAAAATGCAACAAAAACAAATAAAACCATATCGTTAACATGAACATGCATAAAGCTAATGTTGAGAAAAGCTTTTCTCTTTTTCCTTCTTTAAAATATCTCACACGTGCGAAGCGTGTGGATCGGAGATCTAAACTTATAAAAGATGAAAAACCCAAAGGCCTTTCGTTAGTGTCTAACCTACATACAGTATATGCTTTTCTTGATGCTTTGTCGTATTTCCTCTACATTCAAAATAAAAAAAATGAAACCAATTAAAAGTATTCATTTCCTTATTACCATTTCTTCACCAAAATAAGGTTTAGTAGTTCTCTTTATTTGACAATATGGTATATTTTTAAATTCCAATAGCAAAACTATAATTATATAAAAAAGATTCATGTCCTTATTAGCAAGTTCTTTACCAATTTAGGGTTTAGTGGTTCATTGTTTGGCAACTTGGTATATCTATAACCCACAAATTGGAAGAACTTTAAGAAGAAGAAATAAAGATTCATTTCCTTGTGAAATAGTTCTTCACACATTTAGTGTTTATTAATCGGATCAAATGGACCAATAAAATTGACTTTATAAATGGGTGATAAGACACATTTATATATATTAAAGATATATGGGTTCATATTTCGTAAAATATTCCCTTAGTGAATCATCTGCTTTCCAGCAAAAAACAATACTTAGTGGGGCATTCTCGAAGACTATATAATATATAGATTCGATCTACTTAGATGTGGAACAAACAGTCATAATAAGTATATATCTACGTATAACCATGACCTACTTGATGTTGCATTTGATCTTTTTAATATTTAAATTGATCAAATTTAACATTTGACCCTCTTTTGAAAAAGTAAAGTATGTATAAGAAGGATGGCGCATTCTCTTCGCCGTCTTGCTGTCAAAAATTCGATATTCCTTGTTAAAACTACTTTTATTTCCGGGATTTACCAGTTTTTTAGTTAAACCAATACCGGTCTGCTGGATAGTGCTAACTTGGGAAGTTAGATTAGTTATTGTACCAAAAAGGTTGCTAGATATTTCCCTTGTCACAATTTTTTAAATTTAACTTCAGTTTGAAGTAGAAATAGAAATATTTTTCATTTTTATTTAATTCAATTTTTTTTACTTCAATTTGAAGTAGAAATATTTTCCGTTTTTATTTAATAGGACAAGAACTGAACATAAACGTAAAAGTCATAAATTCTAACATGTGTAGAAATTAGAAAATAAATAATAATGTATGAACTATGAAGCATGCATGTGATGGAGCAACTTGTTTCGTCTTTACTCTCCCTTTCGAACTTTTTACATTGATTCGTCCATTTTGATCAAAGACAAGCGTCACTGTTAGTATCTTTTGACACAACACACTGACAACAAATTATTATTATTATTATAATATTTGCTGTATGATGAATTATAGTTGTTGATAATATGGTTTGGTGGTGCAGTGGGAGAAACGGCCAAGGAGGAGGTTTTCCCGGAATCACGGGCGGTGGTGGGACCATCACACGCGGTTACAGTAAAAGTGGACCTGGCGGCGGCAGCAGCGATAGCGACGGTGGCCTTTTCTCAATGATATTCGGTAGCAATACCAGTGCGGCGGCAGCTCTGAAGCCGACACAAGTCTGGTCGATTTTATTCACTATCATTTTATATTGGTATTTTCCACACCATACGAGATGATCATTTCATTATTAGCTCAAGGGTTTATTATATAATTATGGGTACAAAAGAAATATGAAAAAAAGAAAAAAGTGTATACATATTTTTATAGAGATATATAGGTACACACGCATTTGCAAGTTGTAGAATATGTGAGGAAATATATACAAAACATCAATATTCTTGTTTGATGGCTAAACTTTTTTGGTCCCAAATTGGGGCTTATCAATTGGCTGGAGGAATCTTTTACAGTGTATGTACTTTTTAATTATTTATTTATCATTACTAAATGTTTCTTGAATTCCCTAATTTATAAAACTATACTTGTGAATTTGTGATAAAAGAAAAAAAAGGGGAGATATGATAAAAAAAAAGTGAGGAGTTTGATGGGATACTACTTAAGTTAGGTACGAATTCAACAACTTCAAGAAGCTTATCTATTTCTCTGTCTTCTTTCAAATTTTTTATGTTTATTTATTTTTGCAACTGCCTTCTTTCAATTATTAATTAATTAATTAATTATACACAACAAAATGCTGTATCATTTCGGAAACATTTATCTAAATAGATTAAAAAGCTGCGATGCGTAAGAATAACAATCGCAAGTAGTAAAAGTTCATAATAGATGGAAACGTCATGCAGATGAAAAATCCGATATGCCAAAAGTCAAAACAGCCAACGACCATAAAGCACAACCATACGAGGTTTAGCAAAAAAAAAAAGCTCCAAAGAGTAAAAATAGTCGTTGGGTAGCAAGTACTACTTACAAGTCAACTTAGGATGTTATGTTTTTTCTACCATCCGGAATTTTTGTCTCCGGTTCCCCACGACGAGCCAGTTGAAGACGGTGCTCCTGCGCTTGTTTTGCCGCCCCATGCGTTATCGTCTTCTCCGCTCGTTTTCGCCTGACCGTTACCGGTTCCCCAAGCTGCTTTGTCATCATCAGCAGCAACAGCATTGGTTTCTTTCTTTGAGTTAGTATCCCAGCTAGGCCAAGAGGATGAATCGGCTGGCTTTGGATTGTTCGAATCCTCTCCCCACCCTTTTTTCCAGTCTGATCCACCACCACTTTGGTCGCTCTTCCAAGTGCTTTCTTGATTGTCTCTTTTCCACCCTGATGATGATTGATCCCGATCATACGAGCGTCCTCCATTTCTACCTCCCCGGAAACCTCCTCGGAATCCCCCTCCTCCTCTTCTTCCACCAAACCCACGACCACCACTCTCTTCTTCCCACGGCTTAGAACCGCCATCGCCCTGTTTGGACCAGCTCGATCCCCCACCACCATCATTTTGCTTACCCCAGGCAGAACCTCCTCTGCCATTGTCTTGCTTCCCCCAGGAAGAACCACCACCACCACCATCCTGTTTACCCCAGCTTGAACCGCCGTAGCTAGATCCGCTCCATGGTGCGGGATCCTACATTGAATATTTTAAAAATATGAGACTTCGTACATATCTACAAAACCAAAAACAGAAACAACACTTTCTCAAACTAACCTCGGAATTCCCAAAAGATCTTCCCCTCCCAAATTGATCCCTACCACCTCGACGACCTCCTCCTCTTCTCCCACCAAACCCACGTCCTCCCCTATCAAATGATTGTTCTGAGTACCCTCCATCACCATTCCTACCCCACGACGATCCACCATCGTCCTTCTTTCCCCAAGATGATCCTCCATCATCCTTTTTGCCCCAAGAGGATCCTCCATCCACCTTTTTGCCCCACGACGATCCTCCATCATCCTTTTTACCCCAACCCGATCCTCCATCATCCTTTTTGGCCCAAGAAGATCCTCCATCCACCTTTTTACCCCACGACGATCCTCCATCATCCTTATTGCCATCATCCTTTTTACCCCACGATGATCCTCCGTCATCCTTTATACCCCACGACGATCCCCCATCGTCTTTCTTGCCCCAAGATGATCCTCCATCGACCTTTTTACCCCAAGATGATCCTCCATCATCCTTATTACCATCATCCTTTTTACCCCACGACGATCCTCCATCGTCTTTCTTGCCCCAAGATCCTCCATCGACCTTTTTACCCCACGACGATCCTCCATCATCCTTTTTACCCCACGACGATCCTCCATCGTCTTTCTTGCCCCAAGATGATCCACCATCGACCTTTTTACCCCACGACAATCCTCCATCATCCTTATTACCATCATCCTTTTTACCCCACGATGATCCTCCATCATCCTTATTACCATCATCCTTTTTACCCCACGATGATCCTCCGTCCTCCTTTTTACCCCACGATGATCCTCCGTCATCCTTTTTACCCCACGAAGATCCTCCGTCATCCTTTTTACCCCATGAAGATCCTCCGTCATCTTTTTTACCCCATGATGCCCCTCCGTCTTGTTTGCCCCAGTCAGGAACTCTCTTTTTATTGGCATTGGAATCTTCTCCTGACTTGTTCCAACCAGAAGAGCCATTGTTTTTCTCCTCTGAACCAAAACCTCCACCTTGATTACCCCAAGCAGATCCTCCCTGCATACTGTCAGAGCCTTTGTCCTGTTGTCCCCATGAAACTCCTTTGTTACTTGCGCTGGAGTTTCCATCTTTGTTTCCCCAACTAGATTCTCCATCTCCTTTTCCGAAACCAGAATCAGATCCCACTTTCTTACCCCAAGAAGGTTCTTCTTTCTTCTGACTTGATTCTTTACTCCATCTCGGGTCCTCCTCTTGTTGTTTATTACCATCAGAGCTTACTCCGTCCTTACCCCAAGAACCTAAATTTTCAACGTTGGAAGTAGAAGCTACGTGTTTTCCCCAAGAAGAAGCTTCAGCTGTTGAAGCACCTGCATCTCCCCACCCACCAACAGTGCTAGCTTCAGGAGCAGGTGTTTTACCCCAGGAATTCCAACCACCAGACTGATCACCAGCAGAGGCAGGTTTGTTCTCAGCTGCTGCTTTGGCCCACGAAGTGTTGTCATCTGGGACTGTTGGCTGCTGAGACTGCAAAGTCAGAAACCTTGTGACATTAAAAAGAGGTGTAAATATAAAAGTAACAGCACAAAAATAACATGTTTAAGACTTACCGAGACATCAGATGTTGGCTTACTGCCCCATGCGCTCCTGTTACGAGGACATGAGATCAAAACTTTGGAACAATTTACGCAACAAATCATCTCCGTAAGAAATTCATATTACTATTAACACACTTCTCAAGGCACAGTCAAAGCATGACACGTTCAACAGAAGAATTCCAGCAGTAAAAAAAAAAAACCAATGAAGGCTGCGAGGCAAAGATCAGTTGAAGAAAGCTTATCCTATAATTTTTCGAAATCCCAGCAATTACATCTGAATGAACTAGATCCAAAGACAAGGAATATCCTATCGAAACCAAGAAGCCAATGAGCCATATTTACTTTTAGCTACAGAACTAGGAAAATACACTTACAAATCACTAGAAGCGCCTCCTATATTCCAGTTACCATCCTCTCCAGACGTGCCTGCTCCTTTCGTCCAATCTACATAAAATAAGATGAAGAGTGGCAAAGAAATAAGATGTCTCATCACATAATAAGGATGGGGACGGATTATAATATCTAGGAAATGTTTATAAGGCATTAAAGCCGGCATGCTATATGTACTTGTAGTCAAATTGAAATTAAATTTGAACGTCCACAAAAGTACCAACCTCCATTGCTACTTTCTTCAAGGGGTTTATGCTCAAAGCCAGCATTATCACTTCACAGCAACAGACAGCGTGTAAGAGAAGTTGGCATTTGAAAGAAAGGACAATGAAGGATACAGAAACATGAAGGAAGAAAACAGTCCGAGCAGAGTATTCTAGGAGATTCACAGGAACTTACCTTTTACTTTGCATATTTCTGTCGCGAACCTCAGCAAGATGCTCACTTTTAACTGAAGTGCACCATTGAAAATATTCAGAAACACAGCAGAACAGTATAAAATCAACGGTGTAAATGCGTGAAAACAAACCTGTAAGAATTTTAGGCTGGGAATCAAGCTTGACTGTAACATCAGAGTAGCGTAAAGCTATTACACGGCAGAGATACCCCTTCCATGGACCCACACGTATCCTCAGCTTTTGTCCTATAGAATACATGCTACCTCTGTCTCCTTGGTTCGCTGCATTTGACAACCATTCGTGAGAAGCCTAAAGAGGATTAATAGAAGCTCGACTATAATAATCCTCCATACATGATACGTACAGTTAAAGTATTTTTCCTTGGGCTGCCACTCTTTTTCAGGGGGTAGCGGCGATTTTGGGGAGGATGCAGAATCTCCAAAAGCTGAAGCATCAAATCCACCAGTCTGAGAAAAACAGAATGCCATCAGAACATGAACACCTGTCAATTGTATCAAAAGATAGCTGCAGGGACTGGGCTATCTTACCTGCTCATTCTCATTGGATTCGTCAGTAAAGAGTTTAATTTTCTCACATGATTGGGATTTGCAGCAGAAATATCCACCATTTTCTTCCTCACTCTCAGCATAAAGAAACAAGATGCTTCTGTATACTTGCTTCACAACTCCTTGTTTACCCTGAATTTGTAATTTATGCATCATAAGTAGCACGCTTTTAACAGAAAATGTATCATAAGCAGCAAGCTTTTAACAGAAACAAACAAGGATAGTAAATTAAAAATCACACCTCAGATGGGCCTTTGGAAATCTTCACAACATCATTGACTGATATCTGTTTGTTATTCAGATCCAGAGCAGTAAATTTTGAATCGAACGGTCCATTCTGCATTTCTTTCTTTTCAACACTGACTACAGCGGGTCCATCAGAGCCTTCTTTTAGAACCTGGGATATATGCAGCTCATTAGGGACAGTCACAGACCATAGAGTTATATAAAGTGTTGAATAAATAACTACATACCTTGTAGCCTTCACCTTTGTCATCAACGCCCACAATTAAACCGAAGTCTTTTCGACTACAAATGGGGAAAATGAAGAGCTTCGCATATGAAATTACAGCAAAGACTCACAAAGAAGCACAAATATGGACGACTCCATACCTGAAACAAACTAGATTATATAACTCATAGCTACTTTCTGACGTAGATCCTGATGATCCTTCTCCTTTTTCACCCTCTGATTCTTCTCCTTTCCCCGCCACACTGCCAGCTAGAAGATTTTTTTTCTTCTTTTCTCCACCATAGATTTCGGAAATCCACTCCATATCACCAGGTTCTTTTTGTTTTGCAGGCGTAAATTTTAGCATCTCCTCCTTTGTTGGTACAACCCCCCAGGAAGATAATGAATCTACTGATACTTTTTTATATAAAAACCCGTCTTTAAGCATCAGGCTATCAAGATGCTCAAAAGTCATTCCAGTATCACGATCACGCCTCACTTGAATGAGAGGTCTGAACTCCCTGTGACAAAACAAGGGACAAGATATATTAGAAACTTGGTAAATGTTTTACCAAACGAAAAGAAAAGATCCAACGAAAAGAAAAGATCCAGTTTTTTACTCAAGCTCGCTTGAACTGATCAATCTTGGAGCTGGATTGAAGCCTTTTTGGATAGCAGCTCCTCCACCCTGCACAGAAAGTTAGTGAGAAAGAGCAAAGCAAATGATAAGCTGAAGAAAGGTGGCAAACTTTGGGGGCATAGACAAATAAATGAGCGTGAAAATAGGGTAGCTACATATTTTTGGGTCAGAGCCGCCATATCAATCCTTGGAATTAACTTGATTAACGCTTTCCCCCGAGCATCACTCACAGCCACAACCTACAAGGACATAGAGCATAACAGCTTAGGCACCCTTAGGAAGACAACACGCTGAAAGGAAACATATAAAGCAAAAGAAATTGCACCTGAGCAAGATCTCCCTTGTATTTACCATTCTTAACAAGAGCCCATGTTCCCTCAGTTTTTTTTTTAGGTTTTCTTTGGACAGTAAGCAGATGTGGAGCTTCGGCTTTAGGAAGTAACATCATCCGAGTAGCATAGATACCATTTAAATTCTTGCAGGCCTAGGAACAAAAAAGGCAAATCAGAATATCATACACATTATGATAATCCATAAGCGACATCTTCCAAGATACTGCCAGAGAGGTACAGTAGAATTCAACATAGGCATGCTAAATGTTTAATAACCTGAAGAACATCATGTTCCTTGTCAGCTTCTATGAAGACAAAACCCTTGACATGCTCCACAGAAAACACAGACACGATCTGTATTTTGGTGCCTAACTTTCGCAGCTCGACAAATTTGTGCATGAGACAGAAAACGGAGTGCCTCTCCCGTCCAATCTACAAGCATAAACCAAATGAAGTCAGTAGAAGTAACAACATATTGGGTTAAAAGCATAAGCAGAAGCCTTAGTTTAACATACCGCACACTTTACTTTCCATATTGGAGGATCCCAGGCAGTTGGTACAAGAGCATCCATTTCGATGGAACTTTTGACATCATCTTCTGCATATCTAACAAACCCGGAACCAGGTTTGTATCTTTCTTCCATGATCCTATCATATTCTTCCTCGTTGATCTCCTCTTCCTTAGGAAAAACAAAGGAAGGGTTTCCGTTTGTTCCCTTGTCATCCTGGCCTCCAAGATCCATATCTGCGTCAAATGAGTGTGGTTAGAGAAAGAAGTGAAATTTCCGCAATGTTCAGCCTTTAAGGCTTTCAGAGTGCGCAAGCCTTAAAAACTGGAGAAAAAGCTCGAAACTAAAACGAAAACATAACTCAATCACAACCCCTAGTCTCGGAAATTAGCCATAATGATGGACATTTTACCAGGTGCAAACAGAAAACAGACACAAATCACCAAATGTGACAAAATCGGAGCGCTCACCAAAGACGAAACGGACAGTCACGAAGAAATGAAGGCATGCAAGAAGAAAATCTACGAAAGGAGAGAAGAAAAATTAGAAATTACCGTTAAGGAAATCATTAACATCGCAATCTTCGTCGGAGCTCCCTCCATAGTAGCCAACCTCGGCGGATTCCTCGAAGAACTGAAGAACCGAAGGGTTTTTCCGCTTACCAATCCTCAACCCTTCATCTCTGAACTCGACTCCTCCTTTCCGTTTCTTTCCGCCGGAAGACGAATCAGTTTCGGCGACTTGTTTTCCCTTCCCCTTGCGATCCATCTTCTTCGCGATAGGTTTTAGGGTTTTTCACAATTTCATTTTTTTCTGAGAAAGGCAGAGAGTGTGAAGAAGAAATGCTTTTTGGTTTGAGCGTGATGTGTTCCGACTTTTGACTGGTTTTTTTTTTACACTTTAGTCCTTTTGGACTGTTAATTGTAAAACTTCCCGGCCTCGGGATTTTCTCGTGGTAACATTTTTCATAAAGCCCCTTTATAAATACAGTATTTAAGTTGTATAACTCACCTAATTATAAATACTTGGATAAAACTTCGATGACTTTTTAGAAAAACATGCGCATTAACATGGATAATAAAAAATTATAAAAAGACTAATTACGAATGCAAGGTTTAACACTTAAAGGTAAAAACTCGAACAAATATCAAGATCCAAAGCTAAACAGCTCTCCAAACTAAGATAGTATTAAGAAAGTCTTTACACCTAAAAACGCTTACAGAGATATTCATTACACACACACACACCAAGCATCAATCACTTATCATTCATGCCTTAGTAACGGTCAAAAGTAGAGGACGACGGATAACCACCACCACCACCACCGCTTCGGCTAGGCCTCTCATAAGGAGCACCGGCCCTACTTCTGAACCCTCTTCCCTCTTCTCCTCCCCGTATGGGCCCACCAGCTCTAGCACCACCGTACCTGTCACTGCCTGCGCTCGGGACTACGTCTCTCTCAAAGGACCGGGCTTTGTCATAACTCGCTGGAGGATAACGATCTGATCCACGGCTGTATCTATCGCCGCCTGCAAACCGATCAGCCGGGGCTGCATACCTGTAAAATCATAAATGGGAGACGGATTGTCACATCAAGCAACGAATGCAAATTCAATTTGAGAACTCTAAACACAGTTAATAAGAATCTAACCTCTCACTGGCGTAGCGATCACGAGGGATGTAGGCTTCTCTGCTGTCAAACCTGTCTCTAGCACCAAAGCGTGCAGCACCATCATATCGATCATCTATGTAACGTTCACGCTCCACATAGCGGTCACGGTCAGGATAGCGGTCAACACGCCCATCGGATCCTCCAAACGCATCAGCACGGGAAGAAAAACCACCAGCAGGTCCACCGCGACCACCAGAGGCAGACGGGCAATTGCGGGCCCAATGCCCAACACGTCCACATTTGAAACATTCATCTTCACCAACTCGGCCACCTCCACCAAAGCTTCCTTTTCCAGCAAATGCATAGCCACTGTCTCTGCCACCTCTAGAGCCATGACTTTCCCCATCATCTCTCCCCAACTTCGGCTCAGCTCTGTTCACTGAGATGACCCGATCACCAAAGTCTCTTCCATGCATCTCTCTGATTGACTCATCCATAGCACGACGATCAGCAAATGTGATAAACCCGAATCCACGTGAACGACCGGTATCTCTTTCCATCATGATCTATACACAACACACCACAAAAGCTGATTTCCCAAAGATATACGCCAGAGCAGAAGGGCAGTAGTAAAAAGAAACGAATGCAAAATCTGAAAGATCACATCAAGTCCATGTGACATCAAGAAACATCCACACTGCAAAACACTGACCCAGTCTTTTCTTTTGTAAATTGTCAATCAATCTCAACTTCACAGCAAAACACACTAGAGATACCCAGAAACTAAAGCAGCTTTAAAGCAAGTCTCCAGTATCCAGCAGACGTAGCAAACACCACTAACAACTTTTTCTCGGTCCAAAATGACAACTTCAGAATTAATACACTCTACTACTTAATCCCTATTCTCAACCGCCAGCCAATATAGTGACAAAATTAAAGAGAGGAAGTTTTACACACAGAAGGAAGTCACTGAACTAAAAGTACACAATATTCCTGATCAAACATCGGTTTCTTCTCAATATGCAGTTATCATCCGACATTGATCCAGCAAACAGATCCTGGAGCTGACAACTCTTTACATAGCACCACAGCACGTAGATCAGAAATACAGAATCCCACCTCAGACAAAGAACTTAGTCAGGTTTCAGAAACTTGCGGAAAAAATAAGCGCAGAGAACTGGGGTTGGTGGACCAAGAAAAATGTGTGGCTTAGGAACAAAAGTCATTTTAATTGGCTTGCATTTGTAAATTAGGACATGATTTAGGCTTGGAGAAGAAAGAATAAATGAAAGGAAAGATGAAATCGATGCAACTTCTACGAACCAAACAGGGGATGAGAAGCGAGGTGATGGAAATAGCAAGCAGGTGACAAGAAAGGCAAGTAGGAACTCTGTGATAACAAAACGTGAGGTAGTCCCAAACGATCATCGAATCCTCGAGCTCCTGCTTCAACTGAGTGTAACGTTTGGCTCCGCAGTTCATACAACGACTAAACTGCTACCACTGAGGCTTAAGGAACCAGAAAGAGATGAAATCTTGCAACAAGGCTGCTGAGATGCGGACTGGGCTAATCCAGAATAATCGACTTCACGAAATACTGAAGCATAAACAGAGCGTTTAGTCCCTGAATAACTAGTACCCTCATCCAGCTGAAGGGAAGCAGCGAGACTGGCCTAAACTGGGTAGCATCTTGCATTCACCACTCAAAATCATGTCAGTCATCCCAGCCCAGCTAACAAACATTTAAAAACACAATCGCTTCTTCCTAAAGGTGGTTAACCAGGATCTCCACTCAGAGTATAAGAGCAGCAACAAGGATAATTTTCAGGAAGGAACCAATAACCCAGTGTTGCATACTTAGAGAAGTCAAAGATTACACTAGAAGAAACTGAAGTAACCGGTTAATACAGCCTCAACCTCGTGAAACAAATTCCAAAACTGTCATTCCTAAATTCTCAAACAGCAGTTTTTATTCTTTATCACAGAGCAGTTTCTCAACTTGACCCATGTAGCTCTGCTCAATGTCATCCCTAATTCATCAATCTACAGTGTTTCAGTTACACATTACCAGCATCCAGGAAAACAAAAGGAGAGAAGACAATCAATAGGTGAAAAGAGGATAATTGCAAAATATGAGTTTTAAAATTTCCACAAAAGACAATCAGTTTAATTCTATCAACAATCAGACCTTAAATGTACCCACGCAGTTCCCAGAAAGCTTCAATTTCTACAGATTAACATCTCTAAATTTCAGCACACAGAGAAAACAGATAAAATCAAGTTCGTACCTGACAATCGAGAATGTCTCCGAAGCGGCTAAAAGCTCGTTCAAGGTCTCTCTCCGTCACCTCCGGCGATAAACCACCAACAAATATCCTACTACCTTCTTTCGCAGCCATTTTCAATTCGTCTGCTTACAGAAACACGAGCGCGAATTAGGAAAAATTAAGCAAAACATAGAAACTCGAAATTCCAAAAACCTCGTCTTCCCGAGAAAATATTAGATGTATACGACGGCAGAGAATTATACGAAAGGATTCGTCTTACCTCTATCTTCCCCTTGTTAACGAAACTGTGAATTTCGAGAAATATTATCAGAACGAACCGCGTATTGTTTCCTTCGCCTCTCAAATATTAATGACAAGATAGAAAACCCTAAAAGGTTGTTGAGGAGTTACACACACAAAAATAAAAAAATAAACGGACAAGTGCCTAAAGCATCAACAGAAGAGGCCCAGGCCCATAATTTCCTTTAATGGGCCTAAACATAAGGACATCCGGTTAAGCTCAAAGACCAGAGAACACATGTGTGTGTAATCCAATTACTGGAGTTTAATCATTACAAAAATATCTTAGCCAATGTATTAATGAAGTCATGCTTCTTATAAAGTTTATGAATTTTTACTTAACTAAAAACAATCATATATCTTTTCCTATCTATATATAGACTTCGAACCAAAAAATGATTTTACTTTAGTTACCTATAGTGTTTTGTCGATTTAGGGATTTTTAATGCGATTTTTGCCAATTTCATGTTGGTTTTCAAAAACATCATGCCATCCTATCGTTTGAAATTTCACCAAAACACTTCAAAACACATCTTATATTTTAATGGTCTTTTAGGGGGTCTTTTTTAGGAGATGTAAAAAAAAGGATTATATTCATCCACAAACAGATGAAATGTTATTTTCACTAACAGACAAGATTCCAAAGTTTACATACAATTGTTTTGAGTGTAGACGCCAAATACATATGTATAATATTGAAGGTCTAAAAAATGATTTGGCATTAGTTGAGGGTTTTCTCTATTTATATTCTCTTGCTGGATTTTACTTTATGAGTAGACCATATGCATAAAAATTAAGTGAGAATATTTTTAGTTGAGAAATACTATTCTTTATTTATCTTTTAAATAATATTCTTTTAACTTTAAAATAAAAACAAAAGACCAGAACCTTGGTTCCAGCTTTAAGATCCAAGTCACAATGTTTAGATGACCTAATCAGACATTGATCAATAAAATAACTTTAAGTCTTTAACCAGCCCACAGTTTTGGAGCAAAACAATCTAGGGGAAGTGTATTAATTTATCCTACTTTTTCTTAAAATATTTATTTCATCCTACTAGTACATGTTTATGTTATCCTAGAAATGTTTTTTTAGTAGATAATAGTTAACTAGATGAATACTGCAAAATTTTAAAATTCTAAAAACTACCAAATATGTGAGTATCTTTCTAAATCAGTCATACGAAGGCTTTTATTAAGAAATTCAGATTTTTCTGAGTTTATAAAGATTTTCAAAGGCTTCGATATTTGCAAGCACGAACGAAAGCTTTTGTATTCAGTATGTTTTTAGGATTATTTGTTGAACCATTTCGATGTGTGTTTTTTTGTCTTGGTATTTTGGTTTATCTCAAGGACAAGTTTAATTCTTAACTAGAAGAAAAACATGATTTTTCATAAAGATTATTTCCAGTTCTTTTAGGAAAATGTTCTTTGACGTTAAAGAAATATGATTGTTTTTAGTTAAGTAAAAATTCATAAATTACATGAAAGTTGGAGATGTTAAGCTTGCGGCGATTATCATTGTCTTAGAAGGATATGGTTATTGCGACAATGTTGATGATGATGTTGTGATTTACACAAGTGAAGGAGGAAACTTGATGAGCAAAGAAGAGAAAACTGAAGATCAGATACCTGGCGAAGAGAGATGGGATCGAAAAGGAAAATGGTACGGAGTCATGGAATATAAAATCAAATACTATAACCTATGAAAACGTGGACCGATGCAAAGGTACCAGGTTGTCTGCCATGATATGGGTAGATAACCCATCTTTCCAAACAAAATAATTAATTGTCTGCAACGTTCTTTTTTTTTTGAGAATTTTTGAATGCTTTTAGTGTCGACCAAAAAACTAGAGTATTTCTACGAATTTGGAATATCCGCGTACAAAGAATACTAAGTGCTAGAGTTTGTACATGGATGCTGAATATCCTGAATTTTGAAAAAACTAAGAATCTCGACAAGCATGATTATAGTACCAAAATGCGTTAGATATCCGTGACTACCAACAAAAAAAATAATATATAGTGAAATTTGTTTGGCACCAAATAACAAAAAAAAATATGATTAATTAACCCAAAAAACACATGGAAATTTTACTGTAAATGATTTTTTAACATTGAACAAGCAACAAAAAATGGTCTATAAAATATAAATTTATTTATTATTACTTGTAATGATTTATTACAATGTTATAAAATTCTTTTCAAGATTTTATTCAATCACATTGTATATCATTTTAATTATATTTGTTTACTTTAGTAGTCAGTTATAAATTATAAAAAGATTCACTAATTCCAAAACAAATACATTAATATAACTTGTAACTAATAGTAATAAGAATACTTTTTAACAGCCTCTTTAATTAACCAAAAAAATGTCAAATAAGAGTCTTTATTTGTGTCTAAATTTGTATTATTTTTCTAAGATCAGAATGAATCAGATATTTTATCTAGTTAGTACTGCTACTATTCTGACTATTATTGTGTTTCTTTTATTTTTATTTTTATTGCTATTCTTATTATTGCTCTTATAGTTTTATTAATATTAAGAAAATAAGTTTAACACGTCAGCAAAGCCATATAAAAGTTATGAATATGTCAGCTTTATAAGAAAAGACATCACTTTCATGTCAAAAAGAAAGAAACGAAAAAAGTGGTATTCATGAGAATGACGCACATTTTGATCCATTTACTTATTTTTAGAAGTAAAAGAATTTAGTGATGTTTATTAATATTAGAGGAGGAAAATGGGAAAATGCGTAGTGGTTTTGGTTTCTAATATTATATAGGCTTGTGCTTTTGCTGATCCTCAGGTGAAAATGTGGGAGACAAGGAATCTCTCTTTGTTGATGTATAGTGTACTATGTTTATCAACTTGCCTTTGGGCGCTTTACGTGTATATACACTCACTTCCAAGTCAATGGACATATGTATATATGTTATCTAATTGGTCGATGTAGTTAATTGTGTATACACTAATCCTAATTCCTAAAGTTATACAAACTGTATATCTATAATGTCAGGAAATTGAAATAATTTTTTTTTTGGTTTTAAAGAAATTGATATATTAATATCACAGTCATTTCCTGGAAGATTTTAAAATTTTGAGATTTTATCATTGTTAGTTTATAAATTTCTAAAATCTTAATAAAAATCATTGTTATTGGTTTAAATATTTTAAAATTCTATATAAAATTCTTTATTATTCAAAAAATTTAGTTTTTAAAATTTCTATAATTCTGTAAAAAAAATTGTGTTATTACAACATGAATTTTAAATAATTTACTTTCTAAAATAAAATTTAACAAGAATTTAAAAAAACTATTTTGGTTTATATTTTAAAATTATTATAATATTTTAACAGATTTTCTAAATATATAAATTCTTTTTAAGTCTAACAACTTTTTTTTACAAATTTAACAAATCTCTCAATTATTAAAATCAATCAATCTTTATATCTCCATCTCGCAATAGCCCCTTTATCATTTTATCATTAACCAATGCCAATACTTTTGGAGTGCACATCCATGATGTTTAATATTAAGTTTTCTTAATTTGCTTCCTTTGGATTACTCTTTTCTCCACCCATATTCATTTGTGAATTAACTGGATATTGAGTGCATGGAATATTTCAAACTAATATTTGATTCTCTATACAAAATATTTTGTAATAAAATTAAAAAACTTGAAAATATATCAGTAATATAAAATGTAGTATTCATATTAACATTATTTGATTAATTTATAAATTTTAATAATTCATAATAGTGTATATAAATAACTGTTTTATATAAATAGTTATAGAGTGTATACATATATTTTTATATAGAGTTTGTGTATATGTTTACGTTCCAAAGTTACTACATAAATCTCAATGGGTTACGCATTTAGCATAATTTATTACATATATTCCGAAAAAGCATTCATGTGTTGAATTCACTGTGATTCAATAACATAAACGGAACGATAGGTTTCAATATAGTACAATATATATGAACTTTATATATATATATATATCCATATCAAAGCACAGATAGTATACGTTATCAATTTTTTTTTAATTTTAATATTTTTTATTTTTTCTGCTATTTATTAATATTAGCTTTTGTAGTATTTGTTTTGATCTGGGGAATGGAGATTATCCCTAATTTTCTGATCGTAATGGATATTACAAATATTTCCCATCCCTACTTAGCACGATAGCGACGATCAAAATTGTTGTCATTTGTTCGATATCAGGAGTGACTAGTTGATATCACTCATTTCCTCGGATTAAATGTGAACAAAGAGATGTGAAATTCACGTAACAAATATATGTTTTATATTATGTAAAAACATAGGAATGGTTACAAAATTATCAACTAGTTTACTCAAACAATATAATTTACAACATGTAAGTACACCGCATTTGAACTACATAAAACATATATATATATATATATATGTGTGTGTGTGTTTCCTTATCATGCATGTGTAAGTGGACTATTTGAACTTGGTGTCAATTTGTTTGTTTAGAAAACATATCTTAACAAAAAAATAATGTATATTTCAAAATTGTAGAAAACATATATTAACAAAAAAAAACTAAATGTATATTTACAAATTATATTCTATATATTTAAAAAAAAAAAACAAAATAGGAATTTGTAGGGCTCGGATCCAAAGTAACGGTTCGGTTTAGAGACAATGAACCACGCCAACAAGAAATTAACCGTAATTTTGGTCCGGTTTGATTTACCTCAGCTACTGCGACGCTATATAAATACCCCACTCCAAGCGTCTTCTTCACTTGCCCCTCTCACTCCCTCTCTTACTAGTCTTGCGCTTATACATACACACATATGTATGCATACGTACTCTTCTCTCATAAATAAATAAGTTTAAAATTAGATATATGCATTTATGATAGAAAGTTACAAGATTGGTGGCTTGGTGCTGTGTCTGACCAGACTTTGGATCGACAGATCGAAAAAATAACTAACCAGTCAGTAATCAGTATTGGATATTAAGTGTATATTATATTTTCGACCTTATATATGCTACGTTCTTTAACGTTCATGCTTGTTTTTTTCACGCAATTATTTTTATTTTTAATTTACTTCCCCTAGAAAATCATTTTTTTTCTTCTTTTTTTCCCATATAGAAACAGAATATTCCGTATTTTTCTTATGACGGAAACGAACCACTTACATATTGACACGCTAGCCCTTAAATTCCTGAAGGTCTCTCTACTTCACCTATATCTACTTTCCTCGTCTCTGACTGCTTTTCTCATTGATCTTCTTTTTCCTCGTTTTTTTGTTTTCACGAGTAGAACAGATATCGAAAAGATTATTTAGATCTTCTTCTTCTTCTACTTGTTTAGTTTGAGATAATTATTTTTGCTTATTCAATCAAATTCCTTTTTGTTCCATTCATTCGTACAATAATATATACTCGACTTATTGATTGTGTGCGTGTAAATCTGATACAAGTTCTCGGCGGATCCGTGGAATAAAGCTCAACAGTCGTGGTTTGTAGGTGCAGCACCATTAAGATTCACATGGAAATTGAAAATATCCTAATTTTATATTAATTAGGGTTTTGATGTGTATATGAGAATCTTGATGATGCTGCATCAACAACCGACGGCTACAAAATACCTAAAGCATGAAGACAAAACCTAATATATATATAGTAAATGAAGTCTGGATCTTCGGTAAGAAACTGAATCTAAGAAATGAAATTTCTCTCTTGATTACTCTTTAAGAATATATTTTATTTTTTTCTGACTTTGAACACGTTACATATATACAATGGAATGGTGGCTATTTTGTCTTTGATCTTGGCTTGTGGTATTGATGAGTGGATGTAAAAAGTCTTGCAATATCTTAACTATGTATTGACAGGATCATATAAATTTCTTTCGCATCCATTCGAATCGGATCCTTATATGTAACGCGATGATCAAGAACAAGAAATTGAAGACAGATCGAGTAACTGAGTCATTTTTAAAAACAATATTTTGTAACTGTCAGTTATTAATGTATAAAGTTCATCTCCAGAATTTTTTATAGCCTCAGTTCCACGACTGTCTTTTTGTAACATTTATTTAATATTGTTTTCAACGTCTATTTCTTGTTTATCACTTGTTCTCAATTCCATGTTATTGTTCTAATTTTGTGATATTAGAAATATGGTTTTTATGCCAAATCAAATCAAACATTATGGTGTGTTGTACATTGTACCAGAACTTTGTTTTCAAGTGGCTCAACTTGAGTGTAATTTGTCACTTCGCTTTCGATTTAAATATTTGTAAAACAAAAATAAGAAGAGAGCATGTGAACACATTTTCGTTTATATATTTAATTTTGTGTGAGAAAAGGCAAGGACCAAAAGGATTCGAGTAAGTTAGTACATCAAACTTCTTGGTACAGTAATCAACAAGAGAGGTAGGTAGAGAGATAATATGTGTGCACACCATAAATGATATACTCTAACCTCCATTACCTACGTAGTATATACATTGTGATGCATCATTTAAGTGGTTGATGCAATCCGATGCATACATGAATACTATTACATATTATAGTTCATCATCCACAAAACCTGAAGAGATATACACACCACTACTTTCAGATCTATGCAATGCCGTCGTATACGTGTGCCATTCGGTACTTGCTAAACGATGGTTAGCAATCTCCTCCAATTTGAAGAACTTCTGCGGATCCCGGAAGTTATGGTTTCTTACTAAAAAATTCCGAGCCGTCTTCATCTCTTCGAGCCGTGGATCAAAACTAGTTAATTCAGTTTATTCTCCTAGGTGGTATTCAGATTCGTGGCCGTGAAAATTCTTTTAATTTCATTATTTGATTGGTCTCTTGCTTATATTGATAAAAGTGATAATGACATTTCATAATTTTCTTGATATATGCATCGTTTCAAACAATAACGGAACGAATATTGGTTCCAAAATAAAAGAAATTATGTTAAGGAAGAAACAATGTGGATTGCCCCACAAAAAAAACCCGATGGAGAGATGGAGAATCTAAAGATATTGTGTCAGGTAGGGGCATGCAATTAAGGACATATTTGAGTTGGTTTGTCTTTTGGCACAACTGATGAAAGGCAAATTAAATAGCTAGAGTTAAAAGAGTCCAAGAGTTGGTGCAGTGATTTGGGATCATCAGAATTCACAACATATTGTTCTCAGTCTCGATAGGTAACATCTCAAATCACACTTAGTCAGTAATATAAGTACTGTAGGTTTTTGCAGAAGATTTATTTTTAAGTAGTTAGTAAGTAGGCCACTCTGTTTTTATGCCACCAAAAGGTCCAAAGATTATGCACACGTTAATTAGTTGTCCCGTAAAGTTCATTTTACCAATCAGTGTTTTATGTTTTTGTTCATATATTTCGTTTGAAAAACCGCAATTACTAATACTAGCTAGGGATAGAATATTTGAGTTTCTTTACCACAACTTTCTGATGTCAATTAACTGCATAGTAGTGAAGAATTAAAGAAAAAAAACAAATTTGTGATAATATATATATATATATATATATATATCAATTTCCGTAATAATTCGTTTTGTTAATTTGTTCGACCAAACTAGAGAATAATTATAAGTAGGAGTTAGTGAAAACCAAAAGGTGATGGTCAAGCGACCGATATCATCAAGACATGAAAACTTTCTACATCATGACTACGTCTGCCACAATTAGTTATTCGTAGGCCACAGTGTAGAATGTAAAAATGAAGAAAAAAAAAGCACCTGCTGTTTTCTATAGGTATTTAGATTAATCTATGTGATCGATCTACATGCCCTTTGTTATAAACCAAAAAAAAAAAAAAAGTAGGAGTTTGTCTTAGGTTGATCTCAATCGTACAAGACTAAAGTGATGACTCTAACGGCAAGAAGTATGCTTTCTTTCTTTCATATGTCAAGGACAAGAAGTCGATTTTCTATCAAGCTGTTATCAACTTTTTTATATATATGTGGAAATATAATGTAGATGAGAATGAGATAGGGAATGATGTCTAGGGTTTTAGTTTCACTTGCATACGAATTATAAAAATGCAAAATAAATGCTCTTGCGTATTCAAAAGTTTTGCTAAAATATTACAAATAGAGAAATAAGTTCTTAAAAATCTAATGATCGGTGGCCGTAATAATATTCAATTATACATATTAACTTGTTTTAGATGAAACGTTTTTATAATTGATTAGTTATACAAAATTAAGTGTGCCAAATTGACCAAAATGAAGTACAATATGAGACACGTAGAAGCATGTTGTGCCAATAAATGCAAGGGACACAAATCACATGGTGGACATTGAACTTATGGTAGCTATGCATTCATAGTACAATCTTCATCTAAGTTATTGTACTATATACAGTATGTCATATATACTATTTTGATTTTTTTATGACGTATTTATTGATTGTGACTATTTTACTAAACCACACACATCTGACTATACGTCATAAAAATACGTCATGAAAAAATCAAAATAATTTGGAAGACAAAACGAAAAGTCCCTGTTAAGAGTTACATATGGTATTCCGTAATTAACAAGATAGTACGGTACTACTTAGTGTAATCAAATCCCACAGAGAATAACATCAATATCGACCTACCTATCGATACCATACTTGACAATCTAATTAATGCTATATATCAAATTGGTTTGTGAGAAATACCCATCATATATATATATATATATATATAAGTGCTTGTAATCTAGTCATTTCTACACCGTTGATTTTTGTTTTGAAAGTCATACGAATAAACGTTTTATAATATCGATGTATTTACCATTTAGATAGATATAGTTAAACCTGATAACTTTTAACTTCATGTTTCGAAAATAATTTCTTTAACTGCAGACTTTTTAATATAATTTTTGACTAATAAATTAATACTAATAAAGTCATAATATATATATGATATAAATTTTGAATAAACCCTATTAACAATTAAGCTCACTGTTCGACCCAAAAAGAAAAAGAAACCGGAAACCCAATAACTCAGAGTAAAGCCCATTTAGGAAACTACTAAACATTTCCGATGAGCCTCTTTCGTTCTTCAGGTAACAAATTACGCTTCGACGCGAGTTGAATGGCTACGAATAATATATGGCCACGTGTTTATTTCTTGTAAATTTTGACTGACTAATTTTAATTCTCCTTTTCATTTTGGGGGATTTCGATTCGGTTCCCATCAAATTCGGGCCGGCGAGGAATAATAAACCGGTCGTGAGCTTGCGAGCCACGGAGAGATCTTGCGATGAGTTGCCGGAGATTCTTCTCAATCCCGGTCCTTTCGGTGATTCTGGTGATGGGTATCGTGTACTTCATCACACTCTTCGTTTTCATCGATGATTGGGTTGGTTTACAAAGCTCAGCTGGGAAATTAAACGCCTTCCTCTTCAGCTTCTTGGCGTCTCTCTGTCTCTTTTCTCTCTCCATTTGCGTTCTTATAGATCCTGGTCGTGTCCCGGCATCTTATGCTCCTGATGTTGAGGATTCTAGCTGGTCCCATAGTAACGTAAGCTCCCTCTTCTCCTCTGACTTTTGACTCATTTGAGGATTTTCTTAGTTTTTATTCGGAGTTGTTCTGTAATGTCTGCTCCGTTGAGGTTTTAGAATACGATAAGACAAGGGCCTTTGTGTTTTGTTGCTCTTTTGAACCTGTAGCAGTGATAAATCTCTAAATCTGTAGGCTTTGTTTGCGAGTTCTTTGAATTTCATTGATTGAGTTGGGAAGTTGAACTTTTTGCCTTGAATGCTGAAGAGCTCAATAGATGAAATTCAATGGCTTTTTCTCTTTGGTGTTAAAAATAAAGGTTTTAAGGTTATGAAGAATGGCTTAGTCATTGATGCTGTTCGAATTCTGAATTTGCCTCCTCTTCTGATGATTTGAGATTGCATGTGGGCGTAGAATCACATTGTTCTGATTTGATTTTCCGGGTATATTGATGTAACTTGTCAGGCTACAGAAACAAGGAAATGTGATAAATGCTTTGCATATAAGCCTCTTCGGACTCACCATTGCCGCGTTTGCAGAAGATGCGTCTTGAAGATGGTAGGTATAACATTTAACATTTTTGGATTGAGTCAAAGATTTACCACAATCTTGTGTATCGATATTTTTTTCTTTCTTAAAACGTTTTTTTCTAATCAATGTACATTATACTACAGGATCACCATTGCCTTTGGATAAACAACTGTGTTGGCTATGCAAACTACAAGGCTTTCTTCCTTCTTGTGTTTTATGCAACTGTGGCCTGCATCTACTCCACAGTACGTAAACCCTAATTGTCAATTCCCAATTCTTTTTCTTTCTTTTTTCTTATGTGTATGGATGTTATTTTAGGTATTGCTGGTTTGCTGCGTTTTCAAGAATGGGAACTCCTACGCGGGAAATATTCCACTAAAAACTTTCATGGTAAGTTGAATATATCAGCAAATCTACTCTAGCTTTAAAGCAGTATTCTTTCTTTCAAAACAAGGCTGCACTCTTTCAAAAACATGTTACACGTCTATAGCTTTCAAGCAGATTTATCATAGAATCACATCCTTTTCCGAAGAATAGAAAACTAGAGATGTGGAATTTGTTAGTAAAGAAATGAACTTACATTTATCAGTTCTTTGTAATGGTTTTAGGTTTCTTGTGGGATTTTCATGATTGGACTAAGCTTAACACTTGGCACTCTCCTTTGTTGGCATATCTATCTCATCGCACACAACATGACCACCATTGAGGTATGCATTCTAATTTTTCCCTCCAGTCTTCAAGACACGACATGTAATAGGTTTCGACGATGCCTAAATGTGTAAATTTTCTCTGTAGCATTATGATTCAAAGCGGGCCTTGTGGTTAGCTAGAAAATCGGGACAAAGCTATAGGCATCAATTCGATCTTGGCGTTTACAAAAACATCACCTCGGTACTTTTCTTTACATTGATCTCTCTCTCTCTCTCTCTCTTTTGTGTCGCTCACAATGTGAGCTCTTGAGAGTCACTTCATCGTTGTTGTATGTTTGAAAATCCAAGATTTTGCGTTTCTGATCAAGAACTTGACAATAAAAAGTTTCATGCTTTTCACAGGTGTTAGGCCCTAACATGATCAAATGGCTATGCCCCACATATACTAGGAATACTGAAGCTGGTATTAACTTCTCTGCGTCGAGAGATAGCTAAAAAGTTCAGTCATCGATCTCCGGTTTACAGATCATATACACTTGTACAGCTCAGTCAGAAGGAAAAATTTGGAAGAGCGTTCATGTCAATCAAATTTTGCCCCAGAAAATAGAAAGGAAACAGAGCAACAAGGTTGAAATGTTATCTCGTCTTCTGGATTAACGAATTATAATGTGATAGTTTTGTAACATTGTTTTTTCCAACAAATTATAATTTTAATTAATTTGCAAGAAGTTTCAGTTAACCAATACGGTGGACACAGTTTTGTAAGATAAAACAGCACTTGAAGATCATCCGGATGCTTGGGTTTGATTGTTTCATATAAAAGTAGAGCCGTTAATCTGACATTTCTATTAAGAAGTGGGGCTTTTCCAGTTTTCGTAAAAGAGTTGCTTTTTTGGGTATATTTGACCATTGAGTATTTCCGTTTACATACTAACTAATCTTTGGTGAGAGACCGTTTCAGTGAAAGAGAATGTCAGAGATTGTAAATTTGTCACCGTCTCTGAGGTCTTTAAACCCAAAGATCTCACTTTTGGTTCCTCGTCAAATCTCGACCTCTTTCTCTCTACCGAGAAAGTTCAAGTTTCTTACTTTTCCCGAGAAAATCAGCTTGGTAGCGGAGAGAATCCGAGCAGTCGATGCACGGAAGCAGGACGGTTGCTTGCAAGAGATAGATGACTCGCCGGTCTCTGTGGAGCTGGGACCGATTTGTAGCGAGAGCCACTTTGATCAGGTGATGGAGGAAGCTCAGACGCTCGGTGAATCAGTTGTGATTGTCTGGTGAGTTTCTAGGTTTACGGAGACTCCTCCCCTGATTTTCGATTAATCGTCAAATCTACAAAGAAATGGTTTCTCGATCTAACGGCAAAAAAGAAATCGTTAAACTGTTGATCATTGGTCTTCATTCTCCTGAATTTGCGAAAAAAACTTGTCTTCGATTTTGTAGGATGGCAGCTTGGTGCAGGAAATGTATTTACTTAAAACCAAAACTCGAGAAGCTCGCTGCTGAATTCTATCCAAGGTTTTGAGACACTCTCTCTTCTTCTTTACATTGAATGAGATTCTCTCTCTTCTTCTTTACATTGAATGTTCAAGGCTGTGATTCTTTACTATGAGATTCGTTTTAACGGTCTCTGCATTTATTGGGGTTTTCTGATGGAACGTATTTCTTCCAGACTGCGGTTTTATCATGTTGATGTCAACGCTGTGCCATACAAGCTTGTCTCTCGTGCTGGAGTTACGGTAAGCCTATTGTATGAGTCTTCTTCCTATTTTGTCAATCAAGACCTTGGCAAGTCTTTTATTGCTGACCTAACTACTACTTATATGGAACACTGAGGGGACGCAGAAAATGCCAACGATACAGGTGATTTTCTCTTGATTGTCTTCGAAAGTTCTTGAAACACTTGCTTGAAAACAATCACTGATTTTATGTATCTGATTCCCTCTGCAGCTGTGGAGAGATAACCAGAAACAAGCGGAGGTTATCGGTGGCCACAAAGCGCATTTTGTGGTTGACGAAGTCCGAGAGATGATAGATAACGATTCCATCAGCTAAGATCTACAGTCTCAACAAGACTCTGCTCTGTTTTCCTCTGATTCTTCTTTATAGTTTTTGTGGTCGTCCCTCATAGAATGTTTAGCTCTGTGGCTATTTTGTTGATGCAAGAGCTGGTCTTGTATCTATTTACTTCTGTAACTGGGATTTTGAAGGAAAATTAGATATAGTAATTTTGTAAAATGTTCTGTTTTCTCCATGTTTTAAACAGATTCTGAAGTAAATTGCAATATCAAACCTTCGAGGTTTTTGGCATTGTCTTTTTCCACACTACTTTACTTACACAGACATTGAGAGCTTTGGTAACTGCTGTGACCTTCCTTTATCGATTACCAAGACTTTTATTATTTTTTTAAAAATGTGCACACCAGGGCTATTGGGATTATGTTCAGTATATACAACGAGCATATTGCTTTCTACAAACTACATGTTCTAAGTTAAGTAAAAAGAATAAACATATAGTACTCAGACTTCATCAACAATGTGCTTCCGTCAGAAGAAACAGAGCTCAGAAAACCCAATACTTCTTCTTCTTCTTGCCCTCAGGTATTGGCAGTTCTACACAAAAGTTCCAAGAACACAAGAAAGATAAAACTCAATAAATCAGCCAATTTTATCCAACATTTGATTCACCATAATCCATGTTTGTTTATACTATCATATACGAAATGTCACATACCTCCTTCAGGATAGATTGAATTGTAATGAACCTCAGCCCAGAAGCTTAAACATATGACTGATTTCAAAAGCCAACACATGGATTAAAAAAACCCTGAGATTTTGAGTTAAGAAATGATATACTATATGTAACATGTAACTTACGGCGATTAGACTTCTGCAAATGAGGCAAGATCTCAATGTAACAAGTATCCTTGAAGGAAGTTATCACAAACATCCGAACACCAAACTGCAATAGCAGCAAAACAAAAAAGCGAAGTCGCGTTCATATGTCATGTCCCTAAAGATTCTTTATTCTTATACGCAAACATTATGCAACTACAAACAGCTTAAGGCCGTGTGTGTACGTACCCAATCCGCAGCAGCCTGAAGAGTAACATGATCACCCCATTCTCCATTCCTATGTTCCCAAAATTCACAGTTAATAATAAGCTAAACCAAAAAATCCAGTACAATTACTGAAAGAAATCGAGTTCAGACCGTTTCATTGTTTTAAGATAGTCGGTGTACGCCATTGGAACATAACCTTCATACATCTCCCGATTGTACGCCAGCTGAAACAATATATGAGGATGTTACATCGTCAGGGGGCAAGTATATCAAACTGAAATGGAAGGAATTAAGATTCTTTTCTTGGTACTATATCTCAACCTGATTAACAACTTGTTCTCTGACAGAATTATGGTGCTCTGGAGAACGGTAAAGCTGGTCTGATAGTGACCGAAACTGAGAGAATATATGAAACCAGTGAGACACTGCTAGAAACTTCATCTGCAAAACAATAATTATAAACGAGAAGAAGAGGAAAATTAACCTGGCAGTTTCCATCTCCTTGAATCTTGTTCTCCACCAAGCCATAAAGCTGTAATCTGTTGTGTATAATTACCATAGAGAAAAAGAGATTTCTCACTATCCATTCAAGTAAATCTCTAGACCTAAGGTTGAATAGAAAGTTACAATAATGACAGAGCGCTTTATCATGTAAAGATGTTCTTTTGGACTTTTAGCACTAACTAGCAAGAAGCCTGATGAAATTTTAAACCACAAAATCTCACAAAGCTTGACACTGGAGATCGATTGCATTTCTAAGGTTTAACAGGTTTCAACAAACCAAGAACCACAGAAATGGTAACAAGAAATTGTTCTGTAATCCATAACATACCTCTGAAATAGCCGTTCATGATCAGAAATCTGTTCATCCTCTGAGGGTAATTCTCCATTGATTTTCGGTACATGCTGCAACACACCATGCAAATCAAAGTTTTAAAACTTACATACGAATCTGATGAGGTTGATCTAAGACCATCATAAAGAAGATATACTTACAGCAACAGGTATCATTTGGTTCAGTCGCTTCCCAACTTCAGAATCCAATGACCAAGATTCTTCTTCTATTTCTACAGAACAAACTGAGTCATCATCTCGAGGTGGGGAACTTTGCTCTCCTTGATTCCTTATCCTTGCAACATTCTTATCTTCCATGTCACTGTTATGTCTATGAAGATTATCACTTTCTCGAGATATATCAATGGCTTCCCCTTGATTTTCCTGTCCTGCAAATAATAATAAGCAAACTCATAATGATAGACCCAACAAAATTCGAAATCTGTTGGATCAAAAGTGAATTGTATTAGACAGATTCTTAAAAGCCATAATTTTTCTGTTGAAAATCAACCTTGTTGAGGGTGAGGCCATTCTTGTGCAACAACTGAAGTGCGACTAGGATTATTGAGCCCCGATGCTTCGGCTCGATCAACTCTAGACAATTCGTCTTGGTAAAACTGAGCGATTACGGCATCATCGTCTACATAACCAGTCAAAGGCTGGTTGTAACCTTCTCTAACATAGCCTTGAGTAGCAGCATCTGTTGTCTCATACCGCGTTACGCTGTTGCAAAATCCAGCATTTGTAAGTGTACAAACCTCCAGATCATGGAGACCCCACCGAACAACATCTGGATCAGCCTCATACCCCATTATTTCAAACGCGAAATTGTCAAACTTTATAAACACAAACAACCAAAGTTGAGTTTTGGCTTGCTCTTGCGTATAATATCGAGTTTCCTGCAAAAGAGGGAAACGTGGAACGCATGATCAATACCTCACATATTTAACCAAACGAAGATATGATGATGCATGATCTATCTAACTTGTGGGCAAATCCGAAAAGGGGGAAAGAAACCGCATTTGGAGTTAAAATCATCAAGCAAGAGATTGTTGAATAGTCTATGGTACTTGATCACTGCGCTTCCTATTTGAAAGCTAAAACTCGTGAGATCTCCAATCTAATATAACCACAAGCTTTTCGATTTACATAGTTTTGCCGCCCAAATAATCATCAGGAGACCAACCCAGAACCAAAGTCACCGAACCCCCAACATATTTTCCAATAACATTTTCCAATTCTTGACCTTTTTAAAACGAATTGAACATATGAAAAGGAAAAGTGACGAATTTGGAAAACCCACCGAAAACTTTACCTCGGGAACTTGGAGATCGTCGAAAACTTAGATGAATTTTTTTCAGAACGCAAAAAGCAAAGAGAGAGAGAGAGAGAAAGAAGAAAGCCTGAGAAGATGGGTTTGGTCACAGAGAAAGAAAATCTCAGCCGTTGAAAAAGGAAACAAACAAAAGAGCGATCGCAAGCCGGCAGAGATATTTAACGCCGTTTCACACCGTCGTTGGGTTATCGGAAGGCGGTTTGTTAAAGACAATCCTAAAACCCCGCTCTATTTCCAATAACCCGCCACGATTCGTCCACGTGTCTTAGCTTTTGTTGACGACTAGATCGTTTTATCCTTTTCAAATATTTTCAGAAAAACAATGTTAAAAACACTTTCACAAATGTTAAAATAATGTTTTTCTCTTCTCCTCGCAAAATCTGGAAAAAAACCAAAAATCATAAATGTGATTTTCATATTTTCAATATTTTTTTACTATTTATTAATACACTAATTAATTATTTATAATTATTTAGTTACTAGCTTTTTTTGTTGTTGCTGTATTAATTTAATCCTGGGTGGGGTTAGTACGTATTAGTAGTCGCTGTCATGCTGAGATACGAGGTGGTTTAACGGGCTAAACTCATCATCTTTATCCAAATTTTGTTATTCCTCGTTTTTGTTTTGTGGAAACATTGTTTGCTTAAGAAAAGCAGAATGAATGTTTTTTGTTACTAGTATTCTATTATAATTTTTAAGATACGTAATTCGATTTCTGTTCATAAACTTGGGATCCAATGTAACGTAAACATCTGACATAGATTCCCCAATTGGGATAATGATGAACTCACGTGTACGTAATATAAACATCTGACATAGATTCCCAAGCTTATACACGTGTTCGGCGAGTTGAAATGACACATACATCATACTTTTCGCTTACGGCTTTACCCAAACAAGAGCTTTAAATTTGCGTCCAGGGCTTATACTTAGAACGAGAACTAGATTGTTTAGGCTCCATAGAACAAACACAAGAAGACTTTGTGGGTTTAAATGGATGAATCATTCGTATTAACATTTTAAAAGCCAATGGATACTACTAATTAAACAACAAAGCAAACAAAGACAGTGTGAGGCCTTCAAGTGGAAAGAGGTTACATCTACAAAAGAGACATAACAACTGTCTCTAAAACACCTAGACAATCAAACTATAGAGTAAAAAAAAAAAAACAACCAGAAATTAGATTTCACATCAGCTCAAAACAAATCCACAGAGAGGCCTTTCACCTTTCTCCGGCCAGCATCTTGTGCATCTCTCAATGCCGGGTTTCTATGTCACATAATGCCCCTTTTTCCGTCTATGGCGGCTGTAATCCGACACAAACCTAAACGACATTCCACATCCATCGACCTTGCATTTGTATGGTCGCTCTCCCGTGTGCAGACGCAAATGCTCGGTCCTCGCCCATGGCCATTTGAAAGTCATGGAACATCCTTTCCAAGAGCACACAAAAGGTCTATCATCGTTATGAACACGTTGATGAAGCACCAGATATTTGTGAGCCCTGAATTTTTTTCCACACCCTTCATGTGCGCAGCGGTTTCTTTGGTGAGCTTGTAACTCTGCTTTACTCTTGAAAGTCATCTTGCATCCCTCTAGGTTACAACGGTTGTGGTGACTTGTCGTGGAGTCTTCTTGGTGATGACTCCCCGAGCGAGTCTTTGGAGTTTTCTTGAACCTTTTCGCAGCGGGTTTCTTCTCTTCATCGCTCGTTTCAGTGAGACTGACTGAAGCTTCACGCGTCACTCTCCTCCTACCCCTTGACCTCAACCCTTCACAAGGACTCCTTATGAAACCAATGCTACCATCTGGATTATCATTTGTCTCAGACTCTGATTCTATTCTCCGCTTCTTATTTGCTTCTCGCATAATAGAATTGGGCGACGCCTCTATAACCTCGGTGTTTTCTGAGCTTGCAACTTCGCTCTCCATGCTAAGTTCATTATCTAGAGCTTGCAAGCCATTTGAAGAAGCTTGATCACCGTTGCTTGAACTTAATATATCCCTAGTTGCCAGAGGTTCATCATCATGGATCATGTCCACAACTATGTTCTCACTGGCAATGTCAGTTTCAGGAACTTCTAAACCCAGTTGAGTTTGCTCTTGCTGCTGCTCAGTGTGCATAATATCTTCAGAGCTCAAGATTTCTCTCGTACACATAGATTCCTCTCCCTCCACCTGAAGTGCGGTTGGTCTCACCATCTCTGATTGCTGTTCCTCCTCAATGTTAGTGACGGTAGACCTCAGTTCTTCGAACTCTTGGTCGCTCATTTCAACCGCTTCATCAACATCACGTACAGACACGTCACTGACATGCTCACCAGACAGCTTTATTGGGCCATCATGATTACTTGAGTTCGACCCATTATTATTGCTGGTCATAGAGTGTCCTTGGTGCTCTCTGGTTACGGAAGTTAGGTCAGCAGAGATTCCATTCACCAAACTAGAACTGCTTGTAATATTCCCATGTAATGCTGAGCCAAACTTGATAATGATCTTGGGATGTTCTTGTCCGCGTGCCCCAGTGAAAGGTGAGCTACAATGATTTTCTGAAAAGGATACCCCATTCCTCCCAAAATCTCCAATTTCATTGTTCATATCAGAATGCATTGCCCCATGATGATGTGACCTTTTGGCAAGTGTGTTGCATGTGTTTTCAAAATCTTCTGATTTAGCTGAGATAGTTAGTTCCTGACTTCGTTCTTCAGAAGGCTTGGGCTTCAACTTTTTCTTTCTCGAGTACTGGATGATCTTTTCTTCCTTTCTTCCGGCTTGGGATTCAACTTTTTCCTTCTCCCCTAATTTTCTGTCTACTTTTACTTCAAGATGTTCACGAGGTGTGAAGCTTGAGGTACAACTGGGTTTGGCTTTTGAGCGTGATTTTCTCTGCAGCCATTTGATAGTTGACATATCTAGCATGTGGTTTGTATCGGAGAACAAGCCACCTAGCGACAGTGCATGCTGAATTTTCGTAGAAGGGGAATTTTTCCTCACTTTAACACAGTACCGTAAATTGATACCAAGTTTTGAGGTCCAGTCTACGCCATGTTCGTTGTTTTCTTCATCTTCAATTGCAAGATCAATCAGACTCAACTCTTCTTTAGATGCACTCTCTAACAGGATATCATCATAGCTGAAAGGGACTTTAACTTCCTCTGCCACTATAGCCGCATATGCCTTAAATTTTTGAAAGTCTGCAACAATTCCAAAAAAAGTTAAAAGCAGAATGATCAAAATATTCTCTTTGGCATCGAATTTAATAGCAAATGACGCGTACTTACCTTTATGGCAAATTACAAGGAACTTCAGTCCACCTCGTGACTCCAGCAGTCTCTGGAGCTCAATAGTGTGTTCGAGGCAGAAAATGCGAGGTCTTATATACCTGGAGGACATGTTCCATTCACAGTCAGACTTTTCTGACAACAGTGCCGTAATTTCCTGACCATCTGTAGAATAGATAGAAGCACAATTAACAGGCTTCAAACGAAGATGGTGTAGTTCATAGTTTGGTTAAAAAAATGAGGGTCTGTTACCTATCTCTCCTCGTCTCTCTGAAAGATCATTTAATGCATTTTCAGAAGGCTGTACCACAGACATAAAGGGGAAGCCAAGAACGCCACACGCCACACATGCCAAGGTTCCAGAATCAACCTGGAAATCATTAAGCAGACCATCATCATCGTCGTAGTATACATCTTTCAGCTTCTCCATGAACAAACTCAATTCCTCTAAAAGAGTAGTCTTCTCTTTATTCTTCTCCTCAAGTTCATTTTTTCCCTCTGCTGGAGATGAAACAGCAGCACCCCCAACAGTTACAAGACCATGTACACTATGACGCGGGAGTAAATCAGGGTCCCACATCACCAAACGAAATCCCGGTTCTCGATGAAGAACAGATAAATTCTTGTTTTCGTTCAGTATATCTTCTACAAAAGCTTTTTTCACAAGGAACTCCCTTTCTTCTCTCTGACGATCTCTCAGTCGGGAGCTACGACCACCTGGTAGTAATGATCGTGGCACTCTGAAAATTTTAATATTTACAAGAATATGAGGATTAACAGGTTCCAGCAGAAAAGGGTTCTATGTACAAAGAGGCCATGGAAATTTGCCTTGAAACAAAGGACATGGTCAAGAGATATAGCAGCTGCTGATGGGACAGCATGGGAAGATAATTCATGGCTGCCCGTCGCACAGCAGCTTCCTTAGCTACGTTGAGCCATTGTGGAGTTCCAAAATTAGCGGCTTCCCCACAGTTAAAACCTTTAAAACGTTAAATTAATTCTGCTTAGTTAAGGATTCTGAAAAAAATATTGCAATTTGTATTCCTAATCGAAGCCAAACTATCCGCTTTTACTATGCAACTTATATAACTACTACTTAATAGAAATTTGGTTCTTCATTCTCCTAATTAGAAGATCAATCCTCACCTTATGCTCTGTCGTAAAACACTCATTTTTCTCCAAAGCTTTACTCAATTTTGAATTTTGAATTTTCACATTTTCTCACACACTTTGAAGAGTGCAAAATGGGACGACCAAAGTAAAGTCACAAAGACTTAAGAATGTTTGAAGAAAAAAAGCATTTTTACCGTGGCTGAATCCTACATGATAAGACCTCGGAAAAGTCACAACAAATTCACCAGGATTCTGTACCAACCTACGTGGGAAAACAAAAATAGATATAGCAGAGCTTGGCGTAGTTATAAGAAAACACAAACTGCCTCACATCTCCACATAACAGAAGTGAAAGTTCAAATAAAATTAAAAGGCCTACCTACAGCAGGGAATGTCAGATGCAATTATCATCTCAGGTGATACAAGAGTTGTCTTTTCGCCTAGTTGGGTGAGAGCAGCTGAAAGTGACAAAGAACAGCTAAGAGTCAATGAGAAACAGAAGGACAATGCATTTCATAAGAAGTGTTGCAACGTCTCATATCTATCATAATAACCTTAAAGCAATAAGTCCTAACGCAATTTCCCAAGAGTACAAACTCTCGTCATATCATAGTCAATGTCAGCCACATTTCACTTACAAAGCAAAAAAAAAAGGTGCTAGTAAAGAAAAATATGGATGCGGTAATCATTCTAGGAAATCTCATTTCTCACATGTATGATGTATTACACCAACGAAACATTTCTATATAAACAGAAACAGTATATCATATTTAGCAGTACTTTTCAGAAAGAACGTACCCAGTTGATCAATGTTTCTGCCATACGAATTTTTGCGGATAACCTCTTCAAAGTCAAATGCATAATCACCAGGGACAGCGTACCACGTCTTTGGCGAGCCAGTGTGAAGGTAATTCATACTGTGAAGCTCATGGTCCTCAACGTGCCAGGCAAACCAGCTGAACAACATACCGATATAAACCATGGGAGATGTGACACCAGGGATGTCATCTGGCATGAAGCGTGTAACAGATCCAGGTGAACGTGCAATCATCTGAAGGTTCCATGAACTGTTGGAGAGCTTCCAGCCTGCAGTACCTTCCATTTCATCAACAATATCCATGTTCTTCTGCTTGGACGGATCCTGAGATAATAAACTCGGAGAAGCAAGAGATGCCTTTGCTACCTCAGGCAATGTTTTCTCACCATTCTTGCAGGTTGGTTCTTGACTATTCGTCCCGTTTTCTACTCCGCTGTCTTCACTGACCTCTGCCTTCCTCTGATAAAATCCTCTCCCTCTCCTCTTTCTCTGCCGAAAATGCCTGAAATGACCCTCTGGTTCACCGAAAGCCGAGCCAGGCACATCATTTGCATACTCTATGTATATAGGCTTCTCTAAAGCTGCTTTCCAGAACAATGCCTCAACCACAACCGGTGGCACTTCTTTTGTGGTTCCTAACTGGCTTTTGTAGAAAGTTTTTGACTTAGATTCGAACTGCTCCAACGTGTACACGCCTCCACTTTGCCACACCTGCTTAACGCCACTCCTTTGAGAATTGCTCTTACTGCTCTCTCCTCCTTTCTTTCGTTTTACAGCCTGCCCTAACTCTTGCTGCCTAGTGGTGAACACAGCTCTATCCTCTTGACACACTTTCGAAATGTCTACATCCGAAGCCAATTCAGGACACCTCAAAAGAGACTTGTTCAAGTTGTAGAAAACATACTTTTTCGACGGCTTGGGTAAAGGAGGAATGATCTTGCAGATCCCAAAAGCACTGGCCTCTTTCTCGATTTTCGATATATACGCGATAGGATCTGCGAATTCGGTGTCCGTAGGTCTAAAGACAGGTGCCAAAGGCAAGGCTTTTAGCCAATTGGGAATTTCAACATCACCCATCTCAATGCGAACTCCGTAGGATTATACAATTCAAACACCAAAATCAGACTTTTACCCCCACCATGTGCAAGACCAAGAACAGCAACCTAGTGAAATCCGGGACTCTAAAACCCTAGATTCGAAATTCCGATACTGATTAAAAGAGATATATCTCTTTTGGCTTTCTCCAATTGAGACTAAATCAGCACAATGAAATTGTAGGTAGTGACACAATCAACAACGGCAAAAGCATCGGAAATTCCGTGAGGACAAGAAGGGAGATGAAAATTGAAACGATACGAACTGTGCGGTTGCGCAACGATGGAGAGACGGAGAAGAAGAAGAAGAACAAGAAGAAGAGAGAGAAAGTGTTTAATGTTAAATCTTGAAATTTCCTAAATTATTTTAACGTTTGCCGTGGGCGCATGTTAGCGTAGGATAACCAAACTTTTACGTGTGTGCGCGCCGGGTCATATAACATAAACCAGCGATGCGGTTCTTGGACCGGACCGAATCTTTAAGGACCACTGGACTTGTGGATGTTTTTTTCTAACATTTATCAGCATTAATCATATATAAATAGCCCACTAGCCCACTAGCCCAACCATTTCTCTTAGAAAAAAGTACAAACTAAATATAGGATTAGAGTCGATTACTCTAGTAATAAATCTTAGTATTCGATTTGAGTTATGCTAAATTCATCATTAGCTTGTACGATTCAAACTCCCATGTCGAGGTCAAAAATATGGTTGATGATAGACCATTACTATACGAAAAAAGTGACAACGGAAAAAAGTTATTGAATGAAAAATGACTCTATTTTGGTTTATCTGAGAAATAACGTTACTACTTTAGTTTTGAATAAGACTATGAGAATAGATATTCAGATAACAGATTTCAAAATCAAAATCCTTTAACGAAACTAGTAAAAATCTACAGTTGCTGTTTCCCACAGCAGATAAAGAGTGATGTTGACTAAAAGAAAATAGATAAAAAATGATGTTAAAACCTGAAAGTACACTAAAGATTCTGAACAAAACAAAAATAATAATTGAATGAACAGAAGGTAGGTAAGATATGCCAAAGCTCAGATTCAAGAACACACCTTTGCCATCGCAATCTTAATAAATATCACGAGTACTAACTTTTGAAAACTTATACATAGATTGCAATTAATTTCATAAATCACGAGCAGGGGTCAGAGAGAGTCTTCAATAGATTTATGCCTGAAAAATGAAAAATAGTATTCTTTTCGTGCTTTTCATATAATATTTTTATCATGCTATTAGATTCTTTAAAATTATGTAAATTATGTAATTTGTATAGTTACCATTTGTAATGTATATTTTGTTATTGATTGAATTGTTTTAAGATATTAAATCATTTGTATGTGGAAAAAACTTTTAAATACATTTGACGTGCTGTTTTAATTAGCGTGTTTGGAATGAAATGACCTGTGAATTCATTAATTAAAGATAAACACATTTTGGTGGTATTTATAAACGATTGCGATGTTAAACGTCTTTCGAGGTCTCGTGATAGATTTTGATTCCATTTAAAAATAGATTTTGGTTTCTTCGACGATTTCCTCTATTTTGATTATTCTTGTTCGTCACAACAACTCACAATAGACTTTGTTTTCAATTATTTTTTTTTGAAAATTATTGAAACCCAATCAGATCGTTTTTTTTTCTTTATTTCGCCAATGGTAGTCCAACAAATAACTGAAATTAATTTCGTGATCCTCTTTATTTCCAAAGAATTTAAATTTATTAGGTCAACAAACCAAAACACAGACAATCACACAAGAAGGATAAGTAATAAATTAAAGTCATTACCAACGTCGGCTACGGAAATATTATCATCTCGTGATTTTTTGATCCCCTAAAAAAGAGAAAATAAATAAAATATATCTGAATAAGCGTTAATAGAAAAAAAAAAAATAATACTACAAATCGGAAACTTTTGTCCGAGATTTTGGCGGTTGAAACAGAACGCTGCTCTTCGTTACCGTTTTGGACCCGATTCTTTCTCCTCTCTTGCCTTTCCTTATCATATATACCATATATACTCTCATTTTTTCCTTCTCAACGATAAGTATGAATAAATAGAGACGTATCTCTCTCTCTCTAATAATATCCATCGTCAGAAACAAGGGAAATGGGTTTCTTCACCAGTGTGCTGGGTATCATCGGTTTCGCCATCGGAATCCCTGTTGGGCTCATTCTTGGATTCTTCGCCTTGGTTTATTCTCAGCCTACGCACGATGAGGTAAATTTTATCGACGAAACATCTTTCGTTGGATTCGTTCTCGCCATGTTTGGGGGCGTTTTCATCACCTGGGTAGCTTAAAGATACGGTCGACTGTTGATTATTATGTGTCCGAAGATGGTGAAACTGAAATTGGAGAATGTCCAATTTGAAAGTCGCGGCCTTTTGGTTAATTAGTCGTTTATTAAAAGTTTATGAAGAGCCTTTAATATGTGCACTGTTTTAAACATTGCAGTATCCACCTGCGAGGCCACTGGTTGAGACTAGCATCAGTGTCCTTCTTGATCTTCTTCCAGACATCCCATTGTGGATCAAGAATCCAGACTATGAAAGAGTAAGTGAGTCAAAGATGATATTTTAAGCTACTAAAAACTCTATTACTTGACACTGATAGTCCTTAATTTTCTTTTGTTTTTACATTACTAAGGTGGACTGGTTTAACAGGTTTCTCTCTTACATGTGGCCATACCTCGACAAGGTTCGTCTTAGTTTTTCTTGTTCAGATGAGTTCAGAAATCTCATCCCTGTTTCTTAAAGTTTTCGTTTTTCATCTCCTGCATAGGCTGTTTGCGGGATTATCCAGAGTTCTGCACAACCCATATTTGCGGATTACATTGGGTCCTTCTGTATAGAATCGATAGAGTTCGAAAAATTGAGCCTTGGATCGCTTCCACCTACAGTTCATGGCAAGTCATAGTCCCATTTACTTCTCACCGTTCTTTGCAATGTGCTAATGATGGTTAAGGGGATTGTGGCTAATCTTTGTGCAGGTGTTAAGTTCTATGAGACAAATGAAAAGGAACTTCTGTTTGAACCATCGATCAAGTGGGCAGGCAATCCCAATATAGTTTTGGTGATAAAGCTGCTGTCTTTACGAATTAAAGTTCAGGTCAGTATGAGTGAAACTGTGAGAGTTACTTGACCACTCTTAGTTTTAGCATCTTAGCTGCTGATGAACTACCTTTACAGCTCGTGGATCTTCAAATTTTTGCTATAATGCGAGTAGCTCTCAAGCCTCTTCTACCGACCTTCCCTTGTTTCGGAACGGTTGTTGTTTCATTGATGGAAAAGGTATTTGCATCTTCTCCCAAAAGGGTGATCCTGAATAGGTTTTAAAGTTGTCTGCTTTACCAACCATTGGGGTTAAGAAATTGATCACTCTGATTCTCTTTGCAGCCGCATGTTGATTTTGGACTGAAAGTGCTTGGTGGGGATCTCATGTCCATACCGGGTCTCTACAGATATGTTCAGGTGCTGCATTGATGATCCTCCTATGGGTAGGAGCTGGATTATGGTGTTTATCTACTCGAATGAGATGCTCCTTCCTCCATATTCTTCCAGGTAACTCATCCGTATCTCATGATAATTGCAGGAAACTATCAAAAGGCAAGTTTCAAGCATGTACCATTGGCCACAAGTTCTTGAGATACCTATTCTTGATGCTTCAACGTAAGTGTTGTCTCAAGTTTCAAGCATGTACCATGTACCATTGGCCCCTGATGTATAAGTTTACTTATTGATGTAGAGGGTGCGTGAAGAAGCCTGTAGGATTACTACATGTGAACATTATTCGAGCTTGCAACCTCCTCAAGAAGGATCTGCTTGGGACATCCGACCCTTATGTCAAGCTCAGCTTGACCGGAGAAAAGCTTCCAGCTAAGAAAACCACCATAAAGAAGAGGAACTTAAACCCGGAATGGAACGAACACTTCAAGCTCATCGTGAAGGACCCAATAGCACAAGTCCTTCAACTAGAAGTCTTTGACTGGGACAAGGTCTCAGCATTTCCGGGTTTCGTCTCTAGTTCAACATTTTTGTGTAGTCCTTACTAAAGCTGCTCTCTTAATTGTTCTTTATAGGTTGGTGGGCACGATAGATTGGGGATGCAGATGATCCCCTTGAAGAAGGTTAACCCTGGCGAGAAGAAGGCGTTTAATCTGGACCTGATCAAGAACTCAAACGTTGTTATGGATTCACAGGACAAGAAACAAAGAGGAAGACTAGAGTTAGATCTCAGGTATGTGCCATTCAGAGAAGAAAGCTTTAAGAGTAGAAACGGAAGTCAGGATGAGTACCAGAGTAAAGAAAGCAGAGATGAGAAGTCATCAGAGGAGGATGATTTTCTCAGCAATGCCGGTCTACTCACAGTTGCAATCCAATCGGCCAAAGATGTCGAGTGCAAGAAGAAACACACAAACCCTTATGCTCTTGTTCTCTTCAGGGGAGAAAAGAAGAGAACAAAGGTAAGTCTAAAAACAATTTGGCTCATCGCAAGTGCATGATGTCGTCTGAGTTCTAATGGTTGAGCTACGTTTACGTTGTCAGATGTTGAAGAAGACGAGAGACCCAATATGGAACGAGGAATTCGAGTTTACACTCGAAGAGCCCCCACTGAAAGAGAGTATACGCGTTGAGGTCATGAGTAAAGGAACCGGCCTTCACTTTCGTTCCAAGGTAAAAGATCTTACCCCTTACACCCAAGCCCGCTTCAAAATCCGGTTTGGTTCTAAACCGAAGCAGACCATTTTCAACTGAAACCTTTGCGTCTCTTATGTAGGAGGAATTAGGACATGTCGACATAAATTTGGGCGATGTTGTTGACAATGGAAGGATCAACCAGAAATACCATCTTATCAATTCCAGAAACGGCATTATTCACATTGAGATCCGTTGGACGACTAGTTAACAAAACTGATACAAATATACAGATACTCTTGTTCTAATGGGGTCTCTTCTCAAGATCTCCCTTGTTTATCAAAAATCATATCTCCTGATTATTTCAATTGAAATTTAAAGTACAGATTAAATGCGTGGGAAACAGTTTCATACAGATACAGGAAAAAGTATATAAAAAAAAAAGACTTCAAGGGCTTTGGAGATTCTTGAGGTCTTCTTCTTTAGCGTACCAGGCTGGTATGATCTTAGGAAGGTGAGGATACAGATCTTTGTATGAGTTTCTTATCGTGCCTTCTGCAACTCCGGTTGCTAGTGATATATCTGCAGGCTCAATTTCACAGTTAGAAGAAGAAGCAAGTTCTCGTTTTGCGAAACAAAATGTTCATGAAACTGACCTCTAAGCGGTTTCTTGTCATCGGAAAGCTGTGTTATGATATAGATAACCGCAGCTGCGATTGATATGGGACTCCTCCTGCAGAAGTTTAACACAGAGCGCAATGCATCAACCACACGGCTATATACTCCGAAAATGGGAATATTAAGGAGACATGGATACGATCCATTATACCTAATATCAAACTCCTCTGACTTCTTCACAGATTCTTGAGCTGCTTTTACGGTTTGGTTGCTCATGCCAAGATTGGAGCAAAACCGTCTCTGAACATTTAAAAAAAAGGTTTCACTTGATTAGGAGCAAACAAGACAATAAGCAATGACAAATGAAGATTGTGAAGAAAAAAACTCGCCATAAAGTCACCGGCGTGTATAGTCCCCATTTCTACCGACTGTCCTGTTTCCAACCCCAACTGTTTGACTATGTATTCTTTTGCACGACCAATCTCTTTCTTTGTGGCTCCGTTGGCCACAGAACAGATTTCTAAACCAAATGGAGAGTATTAGAGGCAGGATGGCATTGAAGAAGAAGGAAATGATGGAGGATGCTTAAGAGCTGTATGTGTGTACCCTTGACTGTTCGTGGCTTGTCCTCTTGCCGGCAAGCAATATACAGACATGCAGCCAGAAGAGCGTCCTGATTTCTTCCTCTACTCGACTTCTGATCCTCCACTCTCTTATATATCTCGTTTGCTCGATCCTTCAAAAGAACAATGACACAAAGTTTATACTTACAATACGACAAAGCACAGCCATTTGATCAGAAAACACCTGCAACTTTGAGAAATAATTCATTTGCTAGTGAAATTACTATGAACCCCTGAATATTGATGTGTATCGACATGTGAAGGATAAGACTGGTAAGCAAAACAACATACCTTGATGGTTGCAACAAGGCCCAACCTGGAACACAATGGCCATCAAATTAGTAGTGGCCAATATCATTAGCTTATCCAGCCATCATTAGCTTACCAAAATAAATATCTTTATTTATGCCTAATAACGCGGACTCTATAGTTAATTTCGCAAGAGGAAACTTAAAAATGACGCATTGCACAGAACATCTCCTTGCTTCAATACATCACAAAGATAGCATTTCAAGAGAAAAGATCAAAACTTTAATTATTTCAGAGAGTGAAAAAAGCTTCTGTTGGTGGACATAAATCTGGCTTAAGCTCAACACATAATTTCACAAGATGGGAGAAAAATGTAACCTAATTGGCTTCTCAATTGCAAAACAAAGCTTGGATTTTTTTGCCAACAATGTCAGATCAAAAACACAATTGTGCTGGGGATATCCTCGAAATAGAGCTTCCATAGACCAAAACCTCGATCCTAACCCTCGAATCCAGATTTCAAAAACCTTCTAAAAAAGGGGTCTTAAGAACAATACCGATCAGCCATGGTGGCGATGGTCTTGAAAGCAACAATGAGTCCACGATCGGGGTTGGATCCACGGTTCTGCCAACGACCAAGAGAAGAGGAGAGAAAGTCGCCGGAGGAGCCATTGGGCTTGGAAATGACGGTGGTGAGGCCACCGTCCGCGAGAAGAGGGTTAGTCGGTCCGCCGACACGGACGGGATCGTTGTCACCAGACTCGTTAGCGAAAGTTCTCCATTCGGAGGTCTCATCGATGGAGTGAGACTCGAGCACAAGTCCACACTCGGAGCATACCGTGTCTCCGGCGGAGTGATCGAACACAACTTCCGTTTGCCTCTTACAGTCCGAACAAAACGCGTCACTCATCATTGCTTCCTTTCCCTTTTGATTTATCCGAATTCGACTTTATTACGGAGAATTCCACTTTCTTCTTCTTCAAGCTCTTCAGCTCCTTCGAAGTTGTGTGAGCTTTCTTCAGGCAAAGTCATCGAGGAAAATGCGATGTAACCGAATCAGGGAAAGATCACCCGTCCACGTGTAATTAAATGAATTGTCTAATAAATCTGATGGACTGAACAATGTCGACAAGTTTTGGTAAGTGGGCCTTAGAGAACGAAACCCAGCCCAACGCTTGTAAATATATGTTGAAGCCTTTCTTGCAATAAAAGATAAGTATAGTAGTATCCATTAGGTTTTAATTTTTCTACTTTTCGCACTACCCTGGATTTTATGCAAATGATTTGTTCTCTAATATCTCAAGAATTAATTTACTTAGAGAACTGCTCGATTCTGTAGATGTGAAAACCTGATTGATTATCAACAAATTTTTATTCGTCCATTTTCATTTTGGAGTACAACAATCCCAAACGCAAGCGCTATAAAACAAATAACTGAAAACAACCACAAATACAATGATTCAATTCATCAAATTTTAATCCAGTTGGTCGCATCAAGGTTGGCACAGGAACGTTGCGTCCGCGTTCTGGTCGCTGCAGTAGAGACAAGGGTGCTGCTGAAACCCTAGCCTCTCAAGCACATCCCTTGCCATCATCACTAGTTGCTTGTTCTTCAAGACACCTCCGTTTTCCTTCAACACCGTCTGAATCGCGTTGCTAAACGCTCCATACGCCTTCCCACCGCTACCGCCGACGTCAGCAGACGTCTCATCCGCCTGACACCCGCTCAACAATATCCCGGCATCCACGTGTTTCTCACGCGCCGTCATTTTCTCCAGTAGATCCATCAGATCCATCGCCGGTAAGCGGAATCTAAGGCCAGCGTCGTCGCCAAAGAGTTCGAGTAAATGTGTGCCGATGTCCGAAGTTGAGATTCCGGTGAGAGAACTCAAGTGGTCGAGGACTGCCTTGAAAGGCAAGGCACGTGATGTTATTGTTGCCATAGACGCCCTTGTCTCCATAGCCACAGACCTATCGCCGGAGACGGTAAAAGGCCCGATCTGCTCTTTCTCATTGTCTATGAGGCCACCGCTATGGCAAGAATCAGAGATCATGGTAAAGCTTGTTCCTTTTGGAAGTTGATTGACCAGTTCTCTGAAGTCAACATCTGTTATGAGATTGAAATCACAAGGAACAATAGCTTCGTCTTTTTTAAAAGGATGAGCGGGTTTAGACGAAGGAAACCGAGTTCCATGGCCACTATAGTGGAAGAACAAGACGTCTCCAGATCCGGATTGGGCCTTATCCACCATTCTACGTAAAGCAGCCTTGATGTTGGCACCGGTCGGCTTCACCTTTGACTCTGGCTCGTCCGTTAGCACCTCCATGTCGTCTTGTTTGAATCCAAAACGAGTCAAAAGAGTTTCTTTCATGGCTAAAACGTCGTTGACGCAGCCGTGAAGCTCGTTCCTTGTGTTAGGGTAGTTGCAGCCGACGAGAACGGCTAGTCTTCTCTTGTCCATTCCTTGTTGATCCATTGAGTCTCAGCTGGTACGATGTGATCCTTTAGGGTTTAGAGGGGAATTTAAACAACTCTATATGCAAAATGTTTTGTGTTTTGCTGTTTAGCTTTTCATGTGAAGTGTCCTTGTTTTGGAGCTAAAATGTGTATTTATGATTGAGGAAACTTATAGTGAGGGTCACGTTACGTATATATAATATTAGTTTTTTCTCATTTGTTGTGTTGCTTTTAAGCTGTGCAACATTATTTGAATGGAGTCTTGACTGTATTATCTAATGCTTTAAAGCAAGAAACTATACCTTAAACCAAACTTTTGAGATAGACACAAGTAATCTACTAATCCTGAGTCATGGACTCATGGTCCCACCAGTTGTGGGATTTAAACCCTTATACTAAAATTCGAATGAATTCCAAAAGTTATAAAAAAGTAATGGATTTGGTTAACTTGGAATTATATATAACTTTAAAATAGAACTCATTTTCTCAAAGATTTATACGTAAGCCATATCTAGCTATCCAAGGCAAGAAAGGAGCTATGTTCTACTAATATCATGTACATTTTGCTGGATTTTTAATTATATATATGATGTACATAACGTAGGTAACGTTGAAATATAAATGTCAATTGACCAAACTAACTTGTCTTAAATCCTAAAGGACCGTCCATACCATAACGACATCGTGCACGCAACGGCAAAGTCTTTTGAGACATACCACATCATCTTCACTTCACGTACGAGCTTGAGTCATGAGTTCATAATTGTAAGTCAGTGAGAGGGTTAAACTTAACATTATTAAAACCCAAAAAGATAGAAATTAATTTTTGATTCACATTTTTGTTTACCTCAGTCTTAAATATACACGAGTTATATATTAAAAACAAAAAAAAAAACATAGCAATTTTTCACGATAAGTACCCAAAACACCAAGATAATGGGAGTAAACCGGATCTAAATTAAAAACGAAGATTTGGAATCCAACATTGCTCGACTTGTCACGCTTAATTTAGAACTTCCATTGTTGCACAACACCTTTCCCGCCACGTCATCCTGAAAGCTAACGCTCTTAAGCGGTTGAACTAAACGCTGACCGCCGTTAACCATAACCGCTTCCTCAGAACGACAGCTCAGCAATCCCGTTCTCCCCTTATCGCAGCCGCCAAACGCCAGAGGCGACGGTGACAAGCCTATTCTGGAGAAGTTAGTCGCCATCGCGGAGGCCGGTTCGGCGGTCGTGACGCTCCAAGTGACACTTGCTTCGCTCGGCTCGTAACCGTACTCAGTCGCGGTCTCGTCTATCGAGTTCCGGATGAGATCAGCTGCGGTTGAGGCCCACGGACGAGCTACGTGTTGGGTTGAGAAGCTCTCGATCTCGAAGAGGTCGGAGCTAGCGTCGCTCGCGGCTTCTTCGTCGGTGATAATAACTCCTTTGGGACTCGTCTGATTCATAACCGGTTTAACCGGATGAAGAATCGGTTCAATTTGATTCAAAGCCGGTTTGATCGGATTCAAAGCCGGGTTCTTGGGCTTTTCCGATGCCTCTGAGGTTCCGTTTAGAGTCGGGAAGCTAAAATTGTTTACGGGAGCTCTAGATTCTCTCTTTGCAGTGTTTGAAGGGATCGTTAATCTGATCGGATCGGACGAAGATATCGTCTGATGATTATGATGAGCGATTCGGTTCACGACTCTGTCAGAACCGGTTTTGGGCTCTGCAAATCTTGGTTTGGCTTCTTGAACCTGAACCGATTTGGAGCTAGAACAGGGACAAGTCCTGCGTCTAAAAAACCACCTGGGTCCTGATAAAGATCCTTTCTTGCGGCTTCCACGTCCATCTCGGTCCGATCCTTGCCGGTTTTTGTTGTAGAGCAAACCGGTTTGGCTGTTCCAGCTAGCTTCAGAGGATGCCGTGTGTCCCGCGGTAAAGGAAGACACTTTCGCAGATGAAACCGAAGAGAATCTTGGACCACTAAGATTCTTCGTCTGTGATCTCTCATTGCTTCCGACTTCGCTAAAGTAACTTCGAGCTTCGAATATGCTTAGCTCAGAATCTTCTTGCTCCTTCTGCTGTTGTTGTTGTTGTTGTTCGTTGTTGTTCTCTGGCTTGAGGTATGAGGAGAATGAAACATCGATGTCGTTTGATCGACTTTGAAGGATCTTGATGTAAGGATCAAGAGCATCACGTTTGGTCGCCACGACAGTTACACAAGTTTCCGCCATTGAAATGGGCTTTGTTCTCTTCGTTTTTCTTTTGTATAAAATGGAAACAGAGTTCTGAGTTAGTTCAGTGGTGTGTGTGATGCAAGTCGCTCTCTAACTCTGTGCCTCTGTGTGTATATATATATATAAAAACTTGAGACTTGAGACTTGAGAGAAGTGTCACGAGTTAGTTATGTCCGATAAAGTTCTTATCTTTCTCGTTTAAATGTCATCATGACGTTATTACATGTAGATTTCTAGTGGCCTATACAGGTTTCCTTAAAACATACTTTTGAGAGTTGGTTAATTGTTAAAATTACTTAAAAGAACTTTGTAGCCATCATCAGTCCATTAAACATAAAGGGAACAAACATAAAGTATCCAATATTTTGGCTTATAGTCGATGTAGTCCAAAGCCAAGTTTGAAGTTTTATTACCTCATTAATTTCAATTTTCAACTATAGTTATAGACTAAAAGCTAGAAAATGAAAAATTAGTTGAACTGAAATTAGTTTTAAGTTTGATCTTTGCCATTTTCTTTATAAAAAATGCTCCACACGCAATAAAAACCCAACCCGAAATAGACGTTTCCGTGGTGAAGTCGTAATCAACAAGATGAAAAGAAACAGACACTTTTTTTCGATTTTAATTTTTGTATAAACATAAAGTTTTGTTGCACCCTATCTCCAAGTTTGGAAACGTGATGGTTTCCCTAGGCCATAGTCGTACCATGTGGCTTCTCCATTATTATGTTCTTCTATACGATGCTTTTAAGCAACAAGACAAAGATAACTCCAAAGAAGGTGACAAATCTCAATAGTGATTACTTCCTATTCGACAATAGACAGATCAAAAGAGTGGATAAGAATTATCATTGTAATAATATTGGGTCCATTCTTTTAACAATTTGACATTTAACGGACAAATGCTCCGAACATGATTATTAGGGTTCATAGCATAGGCTGTCAATTGTGTGGTGTTTTCTACTTCAGCTTCACCATTTTCAAATCTAAAAACGTTTTTGGTCGTATGAACTGATTGTGCCTAAAAGATTTACATCGAAAGTGACATTAACAAATCAAAGTGACATAAATCCAAAGATTGTCCAAAAATTGGTCTCTAACATTGTTTACTATTTTAAGCTTTTTCTAAAAGAGAAATGTTCTCTTTCTCTTGACATGGTAAAAAAAAAACTAAACAATTAATCCCAAGTCAGATAAAAAAAAAAATATGGTGCAAATTTGACTTAAATTTAGACCTCATTCTTTCAGTAATAGGGCTCTTGAGAGAATAGACTCTCATAACCCAATTTAACCAGTAAAAAAAAGGAGACCATCACAAATTAAAATAGAAACTGAGTTAAAATAACAATTCTCAACTTTAGAATTACTGATGTTTTTTTAGACAACATCCCAAATTTTCCGACGATAAATTTCTATATAAGAGATTTAAAAACGGGAAGAAAAAAGTCAATACAATTTTCTGAGAAGAATAAAAAAAAAAAAGAAAGATGAAGAACATTATCCTTTTTGTAACATTTTTGGCTCTCTCTTATTCATCACTAGCAGCCGGTAAAAATTCTCAATATATTCTTATCCTTGAACGTCATATGTTTAAGATAGGAAAAACATATAACTTTAATATAGCGATCCGGTTCCTAATTGAAACGATGATTTTAAAAAAAAAAACCGTATAATAAAGTTCACAGTCCATCCTGTGATGCAAATAGTTGTGTTAATCTTCAGAGCATTTTTGTGTGATTTGATATTTATGTAGTTAATGCAAGAATGATTTTGACTCTTCGTTTCTCCTAATCTTTTTTTTTTTTTTGCAGATGAGACAGAGACTGAGTTTCATTACAAAAAAGGCGCAGAAGCGGATCCCGAGAAATGGGCGAGTATCAAACACGAATGGAGCATTTGCGGGATGGGGAAGAGGCAATCGCCAATCGACCTTACGCCACAGATAGCTCGCGTAGTTCACAATTCTACAGAGCTTCTTCAAACATATTACAAACCAGTAGAAGCCACTCTTCAGAACCGTGGATACGACATGATGGTAAATCATTCAAGCCAACAAGAATTCAAAACCTTATAAGAACGCAAGACTGATTATGTTGTGCATCAGGTTTCATGGGAAGAGGACGCAGGAAAGATCGTGATCAATGGTACCGACTACAAATTGGTTCAAAGCCACTGGCATGCACCTTCGGAGCATTTCCTAAATGGAGAAAGGTGAGAAAGAAAGTGAGAAATGGCTCTAGAATTATTTACATTTCATTTGAGCTAACAATATCAAGCCTGACTTGTTGTTGTAAGATTGGCCATGGAACTTCACATGGTACACAAAAGTGCAGAAGGGCACTTAGCAGTTATCGGAGTTCTCTTCAGAGAAGGTGCACCGAATCCTTTCATTTCACGGGTAAGTTTTCAATTTTTACCGAGCGGGGATTTTATGTATTTTTCGTATTGGAAACTCCCTCTCTCTGTCTGCTTATGATTTGGATTTTCGTCTTGTTGATTAATTTGGACAGATAATGGACAAGATCAACTCGATCGCAGACATACAAGGTGGAAAGGCCAGCATAGGCAGAATAGATCCAAGAGAGTTCGGATGGGATCTTACAAAATTCTATGAATATAGAGGATCCCTCACCACTCCTCCTTGCACGGAAGATGTCATGTGGACCATCATCAACAAGGTCTCGTCTTTATTCTTCTACCAAAACCTCATTTGTAGTGAAGATCTATAAAATCTTTTTTTTGACTCAAATCTTGATGTTCTTATCTAAAATGCAGGTCGGGACTGTCTCACGTGAGCAGATTGTTTCTGTAGTCGATGCTCGTCGCGGTGTAAGTATACATAACACACTCCCACTCTCTCACATAAAAACATTCCTACTGTACTAAGAACTAATTTGAACTTTGTCCTTTTCTTATAACTTTAACAACACGTTTTTTGTTGATATTAAGGGTTATGAGGCGAACGCAAGACCAGCCCAACCGCTGTACGCACGGACCGTTTATCTAAATGAATAGTCCATTCCATCAGCAAACTAAAATTGGCCTTCATAGGCCAAGACAACTCCGACCCCTGATTTCCAAACATATAAAAAATTCGAAAAGAAAAGAATTTTGAAGATATGTATGCGAGAAATTGGGGTCTCCATAGTATTTTACAATTTATATAATTATACTTTTGACTAAATAAGTTAAACAAAGCAATTGCTATGTTTGTGGCAATATTTGTTTCTTCCTTTTTTCCGATATGTATTACAATGAAGAAGATGTAATAATCAACCATAATATGAGTTGTTTGAGTCTTTTTATACCCACAAGATCTTTACATTTCACATTTGTTTTTAGACTCTGGAAGTCAACTAAACAGGAAAATGTAGTTCGCAAACACACAGCGAAAACCATACACAAAAACAAAAACAAAAAGTGAAAATGTGCAAACCTCATGCGATGAGGAATGGGAGAACGGTGAGCATGAAGGTTTCGTAAGTGAAAGTAGCTGAGCCCGAGTATCCCGTGTCCTTCTCCTTGAACTTCTCTGTCAGTCCCTGAAACCATTCCCATCATCTCACACAAATCAAACTACTGATTTTTACAGATCTATATATTGATTATGATCTATTTGTTCTAAGGACAACACAACAATTGATTATGATCCATTTGCAAACTCATTGCTGCTTTTGAGCCCCAAATTTCAACCACATTTGATTATAATTTCCCAGAACTAAAAAGATATCACCTGCATAAAGATACAGCAGTAGAGTGAATGATAGCGTACCTTAACAGTGAGACAGCACCTGCATAAAGGAAAAAGCAGAATTATTAACGACGAGATCAGATCAAGAAGAGGAGCAGAGAGGGTAAAGGAAACGAGTAACGTACTCAATGAAATTGTCATATTCGATGGCCCTGTTCTTGCCTCCGCTTTTGTCAAACTTGGAAACCAGCAGATCCAAAATCACAGGGGAAACTGAAAACCCAAGGCTCAAAAGCGCATCTCTCAGCTCATTTACATCTATTCTCCCGCTCCTGTCCTTATCAGACCTCTCAAAAATGGACTGAACCAAAACCAAAACCAATTTTCATGACTGTGAACTTCAACCAATCTTGCTATGCTATTAAATCAGTTCGACCACAAGATGAAATCATTAAAACCTTAAAACTTACCCTCCAGTTCTGAAGACTGTAGAAAAGTGCAGTAAACTCCTTAGGTCCTGCAACATGGAGATTTCTTAAGTCACTCTACAGGACAGCAATTCAATAAACCAGGCTAGCAACAGAGAAAAGAATGTAACTTTGAATGATTATTAATGATCTCAACTAGAACTATAATAATAAAATCAACATAGAGACGGCGATTACTCTCTTGCACGTAATTCACGGAAGTCTATATATAGAACTTTGTTATAAATTAACCAACATGGCGATAGAAAAATCCTGACGACGTTATGACACAATAATTACTATGATGAAAAAGAAGAAAATTTTGAGCTTTTACATCTTTCTAAGTGCCAAACGTAATACACAGATAATGAAGTAAAGACTGAACAAGAATCATTAAGAAACAAGAATCAATCCTTGTCGAAACTAAAAGGGAATTTGGTTTAAGATTCAAAGGTATAGAAGAAGAGCTCACCGATTTTCATGGCATTGCTGTTGGTGAAAAGATACATAAGAAGATGAACAGTTCTCATGCTGAATCTCTGCTGATAAGAAGAGAGAGCACCTTGAAGCTCCTTGTCATCAATGAATCCACTACCGTCCTGATCCGCAGCCTGGAAGCAAGCCACTATGTTCGGATCCGTTCCCGGAGCAAAGCCCGACGGAATCAGAGAGGCGAAAGGGCTTCCGTAAGAGGCCTGAGGAGGATAACCTCCGTAGCCACCGTGCCCTGACGACGCCGGACGAGGTGGAGCACCGTAACTCCCATATTCAGAAATCCCGGGCGGTGGAGAAGCTCCGTATCCTCCGTGCCCAGACGGCGTAGGACGAGGTGCAGCACCGTAACCCCCATAATCTGACGGGCCATGCGGTGGTGGAGCTCCGTAACCTCCGTAAGGCTTCTCCTTTGGCGGCTTGTAGTCCCCTGGAGAAGGCGCGTACGGCGCGGAAGGAGGCGGTGCGCCATAGGACGGCGCAGACGAAGATTGGGGATTCGGCGAGCTGTACGGAGGCGCGGATGAGAATGACGGCTTCGGTGCGCCGTAGGGCACAGCGTAAGGAGAGGATGCCGATGATCCGTACGGGGGATTGTTTCCGCCGGAGGAGTAAGGTGGCTGAGGTGGTGGAGGTTGATTTCCGCCGCCGTAACCGTAACCGTAACCTTGGCTCGTCGGAGGGTAACCTGACATCGCTGAAACGTTTTGCAAAGGAAAAAAAAAAAACCTTTTGAAAGAGATCGAAGGAAGGAAAGAAATGTAAAAGCTTTGGGATGTGATTTACTGATGTAGTTGACTTTTCTTCGTTAGCTGTGTCAAAGAGATAAGGACACTCTAAGGAATTTTGTCTCCGATTTCAAACTATTTACAAAATTATGCCATTGTGAGAGTATATCTAACCGACATTAAAAATTAGAGGGTTTGAGATCGGTTAAGAAACTAAAATGAATCTAATTTGGAATGATCTGGTACATTATTAGTTCCTTGATTTGTTTCCGGTCTTCAATTCGATTTATACATTTGAAATGGTTGTATTTGTTTTTTTTTTGTTTTTTTTTTGGCCAACAGGTTGTATTTGTTTAACGATTTATAATTTCGAGTTTCAAAAGTTGATCACTGGAGTAGTGAAAGAAATTGTCTCTCTTTAATCTTTGGTCTACATATGTTGAACTTTCTCTTCATGACGCTCTTTGGTCTTTTATGAATATAAAATTTGGAATGACGTTATCCAGATTTTATATAGAACGAAAGAAATGATCAAATATGTTCATGAAACATGTAAAATGTAGATCATAATGCTTATCCATGTGATTTTCTTAACAATTTATACACATTTAACAGAGAAAATGAAAAAAAGGGTTGCGACAAAAAGAAGAAAAAGTAAAGGCTTCAACTTTTATTTTCATGTATGCTTCTTTTGTCCTTGCCGTTCCATGCTCCGAGTGAGGACCTGATTTCTCTCGTTTTCTCTCTCTTTTTCTCTCTCATTTCTTCTCTCAACGAATCTCGATCTCGACGAGGAACAAGAGGAAACCCAGATCAGGAAACGCTAGACAACAATGTCGTCGTCTTCGTCGAAGAAGCAGACGCTCTTCATATCGAGCCTTATCATCTCCTGGTACTCCTCCAACATCGGTGTTCTTCTCCTGAACAAGTTCCTCCTCTCCAATTACGGCTTCAAGTTCCCGATTTTCCTCACAATGTGTCACATGTCCGCTTGCGCGATCCTCAGCTACATCTCCATCGTCTTCCTCAAGCTCGTCCCTCTCCAATCCCTCAAATCTCGCTCCCAATTCCTCAAGGTCGCCACTCTCAGCATCGTCTTCTGTGCCTCCGTCGTCGGCGGCAATATCTCCCTCCGTTACCTCCCCGTCTCTTTCAATCAAGCCGTCGGTGCCACCACCCCGTTTTTCACCGCTCTCTTCGCTTACCTAATGACCTTTAAGAGAGAAGCTTGGGTTACCTACGGTGCTCTCGTCCCCGTCGTTGCAGGCGTCGTCATCGCCAGTGGGGTAAAGCTTCTCTTTTTATAGATTCTATTAAACAATGCCCTTCCTAGATTCGAAATTCCGGCTGATTTTATTCATGGATTCTGGAGGAATTGTGCTTTCCGTTTCCGGATTCAGATGACTGATCCCGTAGTTAGATGACAAAGACTAAAACTTTGAAAAAGGGAAACTTTAAAAAATGGGGCCTTGAAATGTGAATCTTGTGTTATCTATAAAGCTTCAGCCTTTTATTGTTTAATCAGGTGTAGAGTTTTGATAGAACCATCACTTTGGGATATAACCTTGTGCTCTCCTCCAAGGTGATATCTTAGTAGCTTATCTATCAAGAGGTTTAAGAATTAAGATCATAATCTTTGCTTTTGTTTTCTTTGGATTTGTACCTCATTGCGAAGTGACAATCTCGGTGTTATTTTTGTGTGTGTCTGTATGATTTTGATCTAAGATCCATTTTGTTTTGCAGGGTGAGCCAGGATTTCACTGGTTTGGTTTCATTATGTGCATTAGTGCTACGGCGGCAAGAGCCTTCAAATCTGTTCTTCAAGGCATCTTACTTTCTTCCGAGGGGTAAATATTACTTGATCCTACATAATTTAGATCCTGCAAGCACCTAGATGATCAAATCAGGAAACTTTAGTTGCCTAATCAAGAAATCTCATTATTGGTTGATTAGGTAGATTGTTTTAATGCATCATCACTTAATCAGGTTAAGATTTTTAATTCATGGAATTAAATTGTTACCAAGCAAAGATAATGATTCATTCATCTCCGCAAGCACCAATAACACCTTTCTCCTGCAGGGAAAAGTTGAACTCGATGAACTTGATGTTGTATATGTCCCCAATAGCTGTGATAGCTCTTCTTCCCGTCACGCTTGTCATGGAACCAGACGTGATCAGCTTGACATTGACGCTTGCAAAGCAACATCAGTACATGTGGATACTTCTTTTGGTGAACTCGGTAATGGCTTACTCAGCCAATCTGTTGAATTTTCTGGTTACAAAACACACAAGCGCCCTCACTCTCCAGGTAAAACCTATTTGCATCTCTGGTCTCTCTCTCTCAAATCCGTGAACATCTTTTGGAGATAACAAGAACAATGTTGATTGTGCAGGTTCTTGGAAACGCTAAAGGAGCAGTTGCAGTGGTGATTTCGATCTTAATCTTTCAAAACCCGGTTACGGTTATGGGCATCGGCGGGTACTCCATAACAGTCCTTGGGGTGGTTGCTTACGGAGAGACAAAACGCAGATTTAGATGAACATATTGATTCACACAGGCAGTCACAACATAGCTTCCCGATGTTTGTTTCTTCTCCTATTCATCAAAGACTCATTATGACCTTAAAATATGGTGGTGGGGAGGGGGATAAGAATGTCGCAGTAGTGATTTTTGTAACTATTTTATACGCACTATATATATTATATATATGTAATATGTATCGGACAATGTTAGATTCCATGGTGAGATGTCACTGTTGTCTTCCAGACAACTCTCTCTGTCTCTGTGTCTATGATGAGATTCCATATTCGTTATTTGGCTTAGTATGCAAGAATATATATTATATTTTAGCATAGTATGCAAGAATATTACTCCATCATCCTATAGTTTATACTAAAATACTACTAACTTTTGGTGTTTGCGTTACATTAAAAAGTTATATGTATATTCAGAAGAAAAAAATATATACAACATTTCTATGCTGTTAATAAAAAAAAAACATTTCTAATCTGTGAAAGCAGACACAAAGTACAAATGAAAAAAAAATCAATATATTCTTAAATTTACTACAAATGCTTTCTAGAACACTTTTACTAATCATATTTTTTTAAAAAAATATATGTTCCGATTCGAAGATGCTTAAGGTAAACAGCCTTTTTTTAATACTATAAATCACTATAGTCGATAAATAAATGGACGGCTAAACAACAATAGTAGCAGAAGTTTCGTTTCCATTTACTCTTTATGCATATGAATATATGTTCTGGCTTGTCGCAGACGTGCTAACCATCATCAAATTAACATTTTTTTGGTCTTCTGCTTTCTTTTTAGGGGAAGATGGTCGTATAGTTTTTTTTTTTTTTTATGTCAACTGGTCTTATACTTTTTAATAATAAATTTCTCATATACGAAAACAATCATGACTGATTTGAAATTAATAGAATCTAATATTATTAAAAAATAGAGAAAACTAATGAAGAATTCAGAAACCAATTCTAATATTAAAAAAATTTTAGCAATATTTTATTTATTTGTGGAAAAGGTTATTCTCATAGTGTTCTTGTACATTTGTTGGAACTTACTAAAATTAAATATTTTATTTATTTAATTATTTTAAAAATTTGGAATCATTAGTTATTAAAATGTCAACGTAGGCGACAGACTTTAGGTAGGTCAAGCCTCTTACCATACGCCTAATTATTGTTTTCTTATTCTAATCGTAAACATTTTAGGGTTTTTACTTTAACAACAAAAAAATACCAAAAACTTAGCTTTTATTTTGTTAAAGAGAATTAAGATTTTACTATTAACTTAAGCTTTGTTTGTTTTTGCATTCCTATACTTATTTAGATGCAAATACTCAAAAACTTGCTTTTATTTGCACGTATCATGTGTTATAATTTTGTCACAATATATTATAAAATATTCAGACGAATAGACGACACATACTCAGTGATAATTATTCATACTAAACAGAAAGAAGCTGTTTTTCTTTCGGAGGGTGGAAGAAGGTGAAGTTAAAAGATAATTCTCAATTTTACAAGATGTTGAAAATTTGTGAAAACATAAAAGTGACGAATCGAAAGCAAAGAGAAAAAAAAAAAAAGTCTGAGATCGGGCGTGAGAGGAAGTGGCCGATGATGTGTACATGAAGATGTGGTTCATTGGTACGACCCCACGAGTGGCACGTGCCCTTGACCAAGGAGCGCGTGCGTTTTACCCTCTTTCATCTCTCTCTGGAACGTTTTTCATTCGTTAGTTGTCTCTGTGTGAACATTCTACTTTTCATTTGTGTTTTTTCAAGGAAAATGTATTCAAACCTAGAAATAAAGTAGTAAATGTTATCACCTTAAAGATGAGAATTGTAACTAATCTCCTGGAATATATAATGTTATAGCTGATCATTTGTTTTATAAATAGTTGGACTAAACAGACGACTTTTAACCTAATTTGTTTTTGTTTACGTCACCTTGCTCTTTATAAATTAACATTTTTAATTCTAGATACCTTTAAATTGTCATCCTATATCCTGATAAATGCTAGTGAACTCTAACATTAGAAGATCAATATAAGACATGTATAAAACCATAAGGAGATATGTATATATATAATACGGTATTAAAATAAAACTTAAGTGGTTAAATGATCAGTTTATATGGATCGAGTTCTAAATTTTCAATGTATATGATGATAGTATTTTATTTTACAGTTTATACTCCTTATCGTTAAATTATATAATATGAAAGAAAGTGATGATGACCAAAAAAATGATGAACGTCATTGATTAGATCATTTGAAATTTGACAGTGTCACTACTTCTAGGCTTCTAGATTTTTTTTTGGTTAATTAGTTCATTATACTTATAAGTTTCTAGCAATAGAAGAGAAACTACAACTATGGTATGTAACTAATATATATATACATAGTACAATTTTTATCTATAGTTTGTATTGATCTGAATGGTTAATGTCTAGATGATTAAATCAAATCAAATTAAGAAGAAGAAAAAAAAGACAATATAACTCCGGTAAGAACTTATACAAAAAACGAGTATAAGAAGAAAAAAATCAGGAAGTGATAGATAATTTGATAATGTGATGGATGGATGGGTAAATAGAATTTGTTTTCTCGGGCTAAACACCATGCAGAAAATTTCATTTGGGAAATTAACAAAACTTAAAATTTTTTAATATATAAACATCGATGAAATCCAAAAGAAAAAATTTGATATGATGTATGCATACATGAAAGAATATGTTAAGTGAAAGGATCAAACGCAGATACCCTAAAACTGCCTGCGTTCACATTTCAAATTATAACTGAGAAAAAAGGATAATGAATTGAAAACATTTATTTAGGTTATTTAAAAGAGAAAATATTTTATTTATAGACAGCTTTGAAATTTTGAAGTTACTTATTAATAATAACAAAAAACTAGTACTAAATCTAAAATAAAAATGCTATAGTTTTGAATTAAAACCTCGATCATCGAGTTTGTTGTAATTATCAAGGGAAGAATAGGATATAGATAATGTTGTACGAAAAGCCCGTGCCCTACTCGTTCTGGCACGAGACTGCGTGTGGAGTGTAAGAAGACACTTAAAAAAGCTTAAAGAAACTTCGATAAAACATGGAGTTATAAATACTAACTACATGGAGACACAACTAGCTAAGATAGATTCCATCTCAAATTCGGTCTTATCATCTTCTTCCTTCATCATCATCATCAAAGTCTCTCTTTCTCTCTCCTCTACTTTCTCTCTCTAGTTATTCTTCTGATCATTAAGAGGACAATAATGTGTGCCTTATCACCAATGTTTCCGAGTAAGCAACAAGAATGGTACTCTGCTTCCACAATGGAGTATCCATGGCTGTCCCAAGTTGATTCCTTCTCTCCCACTCTACATCTTCCTTCTTTCCTTTATCCTTCTTTAGCTCAATCAGATGATTCCAAGAGCTATAACATCAATCATGTGAGTCTTAGTCATAGCTACGGTACGAATAGTAACAGTAACAATGGTCAAGAGGAGGAAGAAGAAGAACGAGGAACGGCTTTGGAGAAGAAACTGAATCACAACGCAAGCGAACGCGACCGCCGTAGAAAGCTAAACTCCTTGTACTCTTCACTTCGTGCCCTCTTGCCTCCTTCTCATCAAAAGGTTTGTGCTTGAAAGATACTGTTTCTAATTAATTTCTACAAAATCCGTCAAGATTAGGTTTTGTAATCTTGACATGGATATACTAAAGAATTCCCTTTTTGATCCGTGATTATTTATGCAGAGGAAGCTGAGCATTCCAATGACAGTATCGGGAGTGGTGAAGTATATACCAGAGCAGAAGCAAGAGCTTCAACGTTTGTCTAGGAGGAAAGAAGAGCTTTTGAAGAGAATCTCCGTAAAAACAGCGACTCTGAATCATCACCAAGAGCAGCTGAGAAAGAGAGCAATGATGGACTCAGTAGATTCTTCCTCCCAAACGATCGCAGCAAATTGGATCACCGACACAGAGATTGCTGTCCAGATTGCTACATCGAGCTGGACATCCATCTCTGACATGTTGCTTAGGTTAGAAGAAAACGGGCTTGATGTCATAAGCGTATCTTCTTCTGTTTCTTCCACCGCAAGGATCTTCTACACTCTGCATCTTCAGGTACTTGTCGAAAGAGATCCAGAGGTGTTCTTTGTTCCTTTAAACTGAGAGAGTTAAAAGCTAATATCTTTTTTTCGTTAATTTTTTTCTTTGTGCAGATGAGAGGAGATTGCAGAGCGAGATTGGAGGAACTCGATGGTATGCTCTTCGGATTACGCCAATCATATTGAGAGATGAGAGTTTCAAGGAGAAAAATCTTGTTATCTGATGCTCTAGACTTTTATCAGATTTTATAACTGTAGCGACATTTTCTTGTTATTGTTAAATTAATGATTATTTGACTCGGAAACTTTATTCAATAAAGAGAATATGCAAATTTATGGGATGATTATGGCAGTGAAATACAGTTATACAGTTATTTAACTGAATTGCTGTACAGTTATCGTAACCATGGCACTGTAAAGATCACACAGGACAGAAAGAATATTGTCCCACACATTGATCTATGAATGAAAGTATTTGCCCTCCATAGTCCCACCATTGATGAATCAATCCTTATGTTTTCAACTGCAACAAGCTTGAATAATGATGATGATGGCCTCTATGCTGATTGAAATATGACTTCACCGGTGTCTGTTCTGACATAAGCAGCAGAAGCTTCAGGAGTGTCTTCCTCACTCGGTGGAACCAGTTGCCAGAAGAGGGGTAGATACTTGTCCCATTCCTTGAGAATCGTCTCGCCTTTGCTGCTTCCGGTTTTTTCCTTTTAGGCAAAAACAAAACATAGTTTTTTATATATTGACGCCATGAAAGAGATCTTGTAATCGAAGAATAGAAAATGACATCTTTGATAGCATAGATTTGCTGTTGTTCTAAGACTTACGACATGGGCTTCGATTAAGCTCTTGAGCTGCAATTCCCCTGCAGGCGCAGTTACTCTCTGGATCTTCACTATCTCTCGGTTAATCTGTAACAGAGTTTTGTTCAGACAAATGTCGAAAGAAAGAATCTAAATTTCAGAATCTAAATACAAAGAAAGTAGTAGTAACCTTGGGGAGAAGAGTGTCGTCTTCATCAAGAAGATAAGCTAAACCTCCTGTCATACCTGCAGCAACGTTTCGTCCCACTCTGTTTCAATGGAAAAACATTTCAAATTTCAGTTGTTAACCGAAAATCTCTCATCCACAGAGAGGTTTTGCAAATGTCGAAGTTTTTACTCACTTCCCAAGAACGACGACGCAGCCACCAGTCATGTACTCACAGCAATGGTCACCAGTGCCTTCAACGACTGCTTCAGCGAGTGAGTTTCTCACAGCAAATCTCTCTCCAGCTTTGCCTCTGGCGAATATCTGACCTCCTGTTGCACCGTACAAGCAAGTATTCCCGACTATGGTTGCTTCCTCTGGCACAAACCCTATTTTCTCCACAGGAGTTACCACTACTTCACCACCAGCCATTCCCTTTCAAAAAAAGATCCAACCATTTTTCAGTTTTCATTAACTGTTGATGCAAAAAAGAGCTGATTTATATGCATATGGAGATGCTAATATACCTTTCCTACGTAGTCATTTGCCTCTCCTATGAGACGGATATTCATACCGGGAATCAAAAAGCACGCAAAGGACTGTCCTGCGCTCCCAAGGAAGCTGCATATAAGAAAAAGAGTTAAAAAGGTTGTTTTAGCTTATCACCTAGATTGATATAACATATGGATTGATACAAAAGCTTTTTGAAGAATTTGTTGCTCACGTTAGATTCACTTGTCCGGCAAAACCAGTGTCTCCATACTTCTTTGCAATGACCCCAGCGATGCGACCACAAGCAGCACGGTCTACGTTGCATATTTTGACGGTTTTGTCAACCACTTTTTCGTTCTCTATCGCATCTATCATCTGCAGGTTTTAAAAACTGTTAGCAAACTAAACCAGGAGAGAAAGAGCAGTGAAAGACTTGTGTTACCAATGGATCTTCGAGAATATCGTCATCGAGAACAGGTCCGTTTGTATGAACATCCTGCTTCCTTATTTCAGTACTGCTCATTGAAGGTACTCCAACAGACTGAAACAGAGGAAAAAAACAGAGGAATCAGAACAACTGAATACATATATATGATTGTTTTTAATATATTTCATGTTAGAAGAAATAGAGTCACATACCGAAAGAAGATAGCTGAGATCGAGATGCTGAGTTTTGACTAGCGAAATGTCTCGTGGTCTCAGTAACTCTGTTCGTCCAATGATGTCATCTAACTTGCTGTATCCCAACTGCGCTAAGATACCTCTCACCTGCCACGAATAAGATTCTCCGTTTTAGATGAGATTAGGAGAGGAGAAAGTCTTAGTGATTGAGATGGTACGAAAGTGGCTAACCTCTTCTGCTACGTATAAGAAGTAATTGACAAGATCACCAGGGACACCAGGGAATCTTGCACGCAGTTCTTCTCTCTGAGACCATTTCAGAGTGGTACAAGCCTTGTTAGTGAAACTCAAGACGAAGCCAAGAAAAATTACAAGAGATCTTTTGAGTTTACCTGACTTGCGACACCCACTGGGCAGTTATTAGTGTGGCAAATACGAGCCATAACACAGCCAGTAGCAATCATTGCCAAGGAACCAAATCCGTATTCATCAGCGCCCATAGCTGCAGCCATTAGAACATCAACGCCGCTCTTTAACCCTCCATCGACTCTTAAAATGACTCTTTCTCTAAGTCCATTTTCGATAAGAGTCTGCATAAGAGAAGAAAGCAAGTAGCAGAAATGAGTTTCTAATTCTATAAGAGAAATAGTATCAGACAGTAGCCAAAGAGTTTACTTGGTGAGTTTCTGTAAGTCCAAGTTCCCAAGGCCCACCAGCATGTTTTATGGAGCTTATTGGACTAGCACCTGTTCCACCATCATGCCCTGATATCTGAGGATCATATGAAAAAAGGAACCATGAAACTTCTTGGCTGATGCAAAACAAAAAAGGGTGCAAGAACATGGGAGAAACAAGAGGAAATGCTCTGTTTTTTCAAGTGTGATGATGATACCTGGATAATATCAGCGTTACCCTTTGCAACTCCAGAAGCAACTGTTCCGATTCCAGCTTCTGCCACCAGCTTGACTGATACTTTTGCGTTTGGGTTAATCTGTTTGTTCAGTTGGAAACTATATCATACGACAATTCCATTATTTTTAGCTCAACTCAACTGATGATTGAGAAAGATTGATCACCTGATGTAGATCAAAGATCAACTGAGCAAGGTCCTCTATGGAGTAGATGTCGTGGTGAGGAGGCGGGGATATAAGAGGAACACCAGGTTTAGAGCTTCTTAGCCTTGCGATGTACGCACTCACTTTCTTTCCAGGAAGCTGACCACCTTCCCCAGGCTTGGCACCTTGTGCAACTTTGATCTCTAATTGATCTGCATTGACCAAGAACGTTGGTGTGACTCCAAAACGTCCTGAAGCAACCTGAGAGAGGACAACAAAATGCATTAGATGAAGATAAACTTATAAGTTATAGATTTAGGGTCTGTTCTAGTAGTACAAGATGAGAGAATATATGACCTGCTTGATAGCACTTGTTGCAATGTCTCCGTTTTGAAGACCTTTGAGATGTGGTAATGTTGGTGAATATCCATCAACCACATCCGTAAGCGGTTTCCAGCGGATAGGATCCTACAGAGAGAGAAACGAAACAGGGCATTATATTTTGATTTTCTTACACAAAGGTGTGCCATCTGAAAGAGAAAAAATGGATATTTTTACCTCTCCACCTTCTCCAGAGTTTGATTTCCCACCAATCCTGTTCATTGCAATAGCAATTGCTTCGTGAGTTTCTCTTGAAATGGCACCAAGTGACATTCCACCAGTACAGAATCTCTTAACAATAGACACGGCTGGTTCCACTTTCCCCACTGGGATGGGTGCACGATCACTCTTGAACTCAAGGAGATCACGGAGAACCTAAATAGAGATAGAGACAGAAAGTGTGAGTGAGATATAAGTGAACTTAATTTAAGAAATTAAGGCTTGAGAAAGAGAAACTAGATACTCACATTAACAGGTCTGTTAGCAAGATGCTGTTGATAGACAGCATATGCAGTTTCACTCTTTTCACGGACAGCCTTGTGCAGCAACTTTGACATCTCTGGGTTGTTTGAATGATACTCACCTGAAATAACAAGACTTTTGTGTAAGTGAAAATGCATACAACATACTGATTAATCAAGAATTGAGAAACGTTAATAAATTTGTTTTACCTCCAGGCCTAAACTGAATAAAGCCGAAATTTTCTAATCGCTTGGTTGTATCCTCAGAAAAAGCCTTCACCCAGAAAGACAATGTCTCTCTTGCCAACTGAAAAAGATTGCATTTTCTTGGAAACAATGTGGATTTGATCAGAGGTAATTAAAAAAAATAAGTATGATGTAATTCTCACCTCATCAAAGGTGAGTCCACTGATTTTGGACACACTTCCAGTGAATGCAAGATCAACAACCTCCTTCCCTAAACCATATATCTCAAATATCTGAGCTCCGCAATAACTGAAAAAAAAAAAAAGGAAAATGCTAAGTCAGAGAAGTTGCAGAAATGTACATAACATAAGCTATAGATAGAAAATATCAGAGGAAGAATAAAAGAAACCTTGAAAGCAATGAGATACCCATCTTAGACAAAATTTTAAGAAGCCCTGCATTAACCGCCTGCAAGATAAGCAATGTGGAAATCAGAATCCTTTGTAGTGTTTAAACAACAACTAAAAGATGAGTCTTTTTTAAGAACATGCATGTAATGAAATGCTGACCTTGGTATAATTCTTCTGAGCTTGCTCAATGGTTACAGTGGGAATCTTCCCGTTCCGCATTAAGGCCACAGTTTTGTTACTTAAGCGCCATTGTCTAGATGTCTCCAGTGCCAAGTATGGGCACACAGCACTGTGGGGGAAATTTCAAAAACCATACTTGATTATGAAATGGATATGATACTAATTAAGAGTTGTTCACAACTATCAGTTAAGAAGAAACCAAAAGAGACAAACCTTGCACCATATCCAATCAAACAAGCAAACTGATGAGTGCTGAAGCACTGGGCGGTATCAGCAACAATGGAAGCAGACATCCTCAAGCCGTTCTGTATAAGATGTTGATGAACGGCGCCAACTGCTAACATTATCGGAATCGCAGGCCGTGTCGGTTCCTGAAAAGATCCATATTACCAGAGTGTTTTAAGATAGCTTGGAGCAGA